GTTTTTCAGGACTCCCGTCCTCAATTGAGTCAGAGGAATCAACTACGGTATGGCCTTCCGAGAGTATGCTTATGCTCGGCGATATCTTCCCCGAGGCCAACTCTGAGGATGTGGGATTGCCATTCATCGCATGTCATTGGTCCGATCCACATTCCTACACATGTCGAGAGTTCTCCGAGTCTCCCCCGGATCTCCAGTTTCCCGTGAATATCCGTATTGAAGGGATCTAGGAGAGAAATAGAGAATCCAGAAGACTCCCGAGGGCCCGAGGTTGACATGCGGAATGACTTACCTAAAGAACCCGATGGGCTGGGGAAGTTATCGTGGAGGTATGAGATCATCGGGGTGGTTAGGGATAGACACATAAAGAGAATAGTCCCCGGACAATAAATTGAATTTTAATAGCCTGTTCGGATATTTCTATTCCATTATTCGATTCGATTATTCTATTATTCTATTCCATTACTTCTATTCCCTGGGAACTGGTTTCCCGGTGTACCGGTGAGCCCGTAAGTACTTGTTACCTCATTCCTGGAGTCAACTCGCTCCCCCCGGAAAGTATCTGTGACATGCAGATCGCGCCTGTGATTCCCCTCTTTATCTGCCCCTCCCTCTGCTCTCTTCTTTCCTTTTTTTTTTTGTTTTTAACTTTCACCCTCTGTTACTTCTATTCCACGCTATTACCATTGATATCCATTCCTACTCCCGACACCTCTGACCTCTCCAGCAATTGCGCCGAGATCTGCCGAGATCGGCCTTGGATTAGATCCGGAGAGCTCCCTCTATAGTGAGTCACCGCTTCCCCAGCGATATAGGTTCCTCCACTCAACCTCGCCAGTACTCCGTACCAATCTACCTCTTCCCATCTCTCACAATGGCTTCCCACCGCCAGCCAGAGGATGCTATCGATGATTCGGAGTTCATCGAGGACCACCTGGAGCACCACCAAGACTCGGTCCACCGTCGTCTCCGTGCCAATTCCACCATCATGCACTTCCAAAAGATCCTAGTCGCCAACCGTGGTGAAATCCCAATTCGTATCTTCCGTACCGCACACGAACTGTCCCTCCAGACGGTAGCCGTCTTCTCCCACGAGGACCGTCTCTCAATGCACAGACAGAAGGCCGACGAGGCCTACATGATCGGTCAGCGCGGCCAGTACACTCCCGTCGGTGCCTATCTCGCAGGTGATGAGATCATTAAGATCGCCAAGGAGCACGGCGTGCACCTGATTCACCCCGGTTACGGTTTCCTTTCGGAGAACGCCGAGTTCGCCCGCAACGTCGAGAAGGCCGGTATCGTCTTCGTCGGTCCCAGTCCCGATACCATTGACGCCCTGGGTGATAAGGTCTCTGCCCGCCGCGCCGCTATCAAGTGCAACGTCCCTGTTGTCCCCGGTACCGAAGGCCCCGTTGAGCGCTACGAGGAGGTCAAGTCCTTCACCGACACCTACGGCTTCCCCATTATCATCAAGGCCGCCTTTGGTGGTGGTGGTCGTGGTATGCGTGTTGTGCGTGATCAGGCCGAGCTGCGTGACGCTTTCGAGCGTGCTACTTCCGAGGCCCGCACTGCCTTTGGTAACGGCACTGTCTTTGTGGAGCGCTTCTTGGACAAGCCTAAGCACATTGAGGTTCAGTTGCTCGGTGATAACCAGGGCAATGTTGTTCACCTGTTCGAGCGTGACTGCTCCGTTCAGCGTCGTCACCAGAAGGTCGTCGAGATTGCTCCTGCTAAGGATCTGCCTGTCGATGTCCGCGATAAGATCCTTGCGGATGCTGTCCGCTTGGCCAAGTCGGTTAGCTACCGCAACGCTGGTACTGCCGAGTTCTTGGTTGACCAGCAGAACCGCTACTACTTCATTGAAATCAACCCTCGTATTCAGGTCGAGCACACTATTACTGAAGAGATTACCGGAATTGATCTCGTCGCTGCACAGATTCAGATCGCTGCTGGTGCTACATTGGAGCAGCTCGGTCTGACCCAGGACCGCATCTCCACTCGCGGTTTCGCTATCCAGTGCCGTATCACCACTGAGGACCCCTCCAAGGGCTTCTCTCCCGACACTGGTAAGATCGAGGTCTACCGGTCTGCCGGTGGTAACGGTGTTCGTCTGGACGGTGGTAACGGCTTTGCTGGTGCCATTATCAGTCCCCACTACGACTCCATGTTGGTCAAGTGCAGTTGCCGTGGTTCCACCTACGAGATTGTCCGCCGCAAGATGCTGCGTGCGCTGGTTGAGTTCCGTATCCGCGGTGTCAAGACCAATATTCCTTTCCTGGCCTCCCTGCTGAGCCACCCCACCTTCATTGATGGCACTTGCTGGACTACCTTCATTGATGACACCCCCGAGCTGTTCGCCCTCGTCGGCAGCCAGAACCGTGCCCAGAAGCTGCTCGCTTACCTGGGTGACGTTGCTGTCAACGGCAGCAGCATCAAGGGCCAGATTGGTGAGCCCAAGTTCAAGGGCGAGATCATCAATCCTATACTCAAGGATGCCGCTGGCAAGCCTCTGGATGTTTCCGCTCCCTGCACCAAGGGCTGGAAGCAGATCATTGACAGCCAGGGTCCCGATGCCTTTGCTCGTGCTGTGCGCGCTAACAAGGGCTGCTTGATTATGGACACCACCTGGCGTGATGCCCACCAGTCGTTGCTCGCCACCCGTGTGCGTACCATCGATTTCCTGAACATTGCCCACGAGACCAGCCACGCATTGAGCAACGCATACTCACTCGAGTGCTGGGGTGGTGCTACCTTCGATGTGGCCATGCGCTTCCTGTACGAGGATCCTTGGGACCGTCTCCGCAAGATGCGCAAGGCTGTTCCCAACATTCCTTTCCAGATGCTGCTGCGTGGCGCCAACGGTGTTGCCTACTCTTCTCTCCCTGACAACGCCATCTACCACTTCTGTAAGCAGGCCAAGAAGTACGGTGTCGATATCTTCCGTGTCTTCGATGCTCTCAACGATCTCGACCAGCTCGAGGTTGGCATCAAGGCTGTCCACGAGGCTGGTGGTGTCGTCGAGGCCACGATGTGCTACAGTGGTGACATGTTGAACCCGAAGAAGAAGTACAGCCTGGACTACTACATGGGTCTGGTCGAGAAGATTGTGGCCATGCGTCCTCACGTCCTTGGTATCAAGGATATGGCTGGTGTGTTGAAGCCCCAGGCTGCCCGTCTCTTGGTCGGCTCCATTCGCGCCAAGTACCCCGATCTCCCCATCCATGTGCACACCCACGACTCGGCCGGAACTGGTGTCGCTTCCATGATTGCCTGTGCCGAGGCCGGTGCTGACGCCGTCGATGCCGCTACCGACAGCATGTCTGGTATGACCTCTCAGCCCAGCATTGGTGCCCTCCTTGCTTCGCTCCAAGGCACTGAGCACGACCCCAAGCTGGACCTGAACCACGTCCGCGCTCTGGACACCTACTGGGCTCAGCTCCGTCTGCTCTACTCTCCCTTCGAGGCTGGTCTGACTGGTCCCGACCCCGAGGTCTACCAGCACGAGATCCCCGGTGGGCAGCTGACCAACCTGATCTTCCAGGCCAGCCAGCTCGGTCTCGGCCAGCAGTGGGCCGAGACCAAGAAGGCTTACGAGGTGGCCAACGAGTTGCTGGGCGACATCGTCAAGGTCACTCCCTCCTCCAAGGTCTGTGGAGACTTTGCCTCCTGGATCGTCAGCAACAAGTTCACCGCCGAGGACATTCTCGAGCGTGCCGACCAGCTAGACTTCCCCGGCTCCGTGCTTGAATTCTTCGAGGGTCTGATGGGCCAGCCGTACGGCGGCTTCCCCGAGCCCCTGCGCACTAAGGCCCTTCGTGGCCGCCGCAAGCTCGACAAGCGCCCCGGTCTGTACCTGGAGCCCATGGATCTCGCCAAGATCAGAACCGAGATCCGCGAGAAGTTCGGCGCCGCCACCGAGTGCGACGTCGCCTCCTACGCCATGTACCCCAAGGTCTTCGAGGACTACCGCAAGTTCGTTGCCAAGTTCGGTGACCTCTCTGTGCTGCCCACTCGCTACTTCCTGGCCCGCCCAGAAATTGGCGAGGAGTTCAACGTCGAGCTCGAGAAGGGTAAGGTGCTGATCCTGAAGTTGCTCGCCATTGGTCCTCTGTCCGAGCAGACCGGCCAGCGCGAGGTCTTCTACGAGGTCAACGGTGAAGTCCGCCAGGTCAGCGTCGATGACAACAAGGCTTCCATCGACAACATCGCCCGCCCCAAGGCCGATGCCTCGGACAGCAGCCAAGTTGGCGCTCCCATGAGCGGTGTCGTGGTTGAGATTCGCATCCACGACGGCCACGAGGTCAAGAAGGGTGATCCTATTGCGGTGCTGAGCGCCATGAAGATGGTGAGTTTTTCTTCCGTCTTGTATAAATGAATATCTTACTAACTCATCTAATAGGAAATGGTGATCTCTGCCCCCCACAGCGGAAAGGTTTCCAGCCTCCAGGTTAAGGAGGGTGACTCTGTCGATGGCCAGGACCTGGTCTGCAGGATCAGCAAGGCGTAAAAGTCCTATGTACCAAGACCATGCTTGTGATGCGTGATGCGATTTGAATGATTTCCAAGCGTTTTTGTTTCTGGGCTTTCGTTTATGGAATTTTGGCAATTGCCTTGAATATTATTTTTCTTTACATTCTATCGATAGATCTGCACGTGTGCGGAAGCACTTCCCCTCATAATCGGCAAGATAGGAAGCCAGAAGTAGACCCGTGTGGATCCAACTCCGCGCAACCCTTACAGCACCTCCTCACAAGCACAAAGCCCGCGCTCCCTAACAGTCCATTCACCAATTACGAACTCCAGATTGCCGAGCTCGGCTACATTCCCGGAACAGCGGAATTAAGCACCGATAAGTGATCTGAACGAGAGATAAAGAAACCCCTTCCTATTCTTGTTCGTGCTCCTGTTACTGTTTCGTTTCTAGCTTGACTATTGCGGGAATTCGAGGCTTGAGATATCTATACACCAGCACAGCTATCTATACAACCAAGCAATCCAAGATGCAAACGACCCGAAAAACAACAAAATCCCTCGGCCAGAGAGGAACAATCCAAGGCCTAATTATCTCCAACAACCAAAATAAAGATCTATGCACCTACTACGGTGGAGTTCGCTACGGCCTTCCAGCGTCCGAACGTGAGAACAGACCCTACTCAGACCGGTGCGGCACTGCAACGGTAACTGACTAATTTAATCAGGCTGGCGCCGTGCAAAACCCTTGCCTGATACATATACCTACGGCACAGACAAGAACCCGAGAGATTGCACAACTGGTGCAGGCGTATGTCCCCAACCCGGATTCCTGAACCTCTCACCTGAGAACCCAGATATTTGGGACGAGGATTGTTTCCAGTGTAACGTTTGGGTTCCGATGGGGAGCCTCCTGAGGGGGATGGCCTGTTTTTGTTTTTCTTCGTGAGTATCAACTGCCCTACCCAATACGCTACATCTTACTTGAGCTATGTTGATTACTAACGTTTGATGGACGATGGTAGATGGCGGCTGGCTTCAATTCGGAACTCCCAATTCGTTCAATGCTGCTGCGTTGATTGGCGAGACGGATTTCAAGTGTGTGGTTGTTATGCCTGCGTACCGGGTGAACCTCTTTGGGTTCTTGTATTCGGTTGAGCTGGAGGCTGATGCGGCTTCCGTTGGGGAGTCTGTTGGTAACCATGGATTTTGGGATCAGAGGCTGGCACTGGAATGGACTCGTGAGAGTGCCAGTCTCTTTGGGGGTGATCCAACCAATATCACTATCAGTGGCTATAGTGCTGGTGAGTATTCTCTCTCTACTTCTAGGGCTATACATACTAACATATACAAGGTGCCAACTCCGTATTCCATCAACTAGCCTACGATCTTCGCCAACCAGCCCCCAACGCGTTAGTCCGGCAAGTCTGCATCTGGTCTAACAGCCCAGCAGTACAACCAAAACAACCAGCAGAAACCCAATCCCAATTCAACGACCTACTCACAGCCTTAAACATCCCTCTCTCCCTACCGGCCAGCGAGAAAATCAACCGTCTCCGCTCAGTCCCAGCAAAGACCCTAATATCTATAACAAAAACCCTATCCCTACACCAATTCCGGCCAACAACGGATGGATCCTTCATAAGCCCAACCCTCTTTGACTCCCTCGACAACGGAAACTTCGCATCGACCCTCTTAAGCCGCAACATTCGCGTAATTATTGGAGAATGTGCAGACGAGCACTTTTTATACAATACCTGGTTTCCACCCAAATCAAACACACTATCCGCGCTGCGAACCCGTCTTATTGCCGATTACCCAGAGCACATTGTCGACGCTCTCATGGCGATGTACTACCCAGACGGGAAATTACCAGCCAACTGCAAGAATTGGGATGTCGATGCTTGGGGGCGCTGTTACGCAGATATGCAGGTGCATTTTATGCAGCGTGGGTTCGCGTATACGCTGACTCATAACACGGCGGGTGTTGATGCGTCACGGTTGTTGTATCGGTATCGCATTGAGTGGAGGGCGAAGTGTATTGATGCTACTATTCCGGTTGAGTGGGGTGTTACGCATTCTTCGGATTATCCGATTTGGTTTTGGGGGAATGGGAAGGTTCTGGAGGAGGAGGAGAAGGAGGTTGTTGAGAGGGCTTTTAACGGTCCTTTGAGTTCTTTTGTTAAGGGTGCTGGTGAGTTTGGGTGGGGCACTTGTGGGCCGAGGAGTGTTAGGACGCTTAAGAGGGATGGAAGTGTGGTTATTTGGGAGGATGAGAATTGGGAGGAGGGTGTTAGGGTTTGGAAGAGATTGAGAGATGCTGATAAAGGGAAGGCGAGGCTGTAGGAGGTAGAGAATAGGTAGTTGTTGGCTATGTATAGAATGAAGTGATCGGCCGATTTGCCGTAAGCTTTCCCCGCATTCCAACTACGTCAACATGTCCACTGTATACGTACATCGTGTCGGCAGGGACTATGACTTAGACGGGGGTTTAGAGAGTCAATCAGGGTTGGATTTATTTCATATTACCATAGGGAAGTGATTGGACTGTTTATAATACTTGGGAATTTATCGCTCAGCTACTGAGGTAGGTGATATACATGTACATGCGGGGTGTTAACGTTAACGTTAGTTACGTCTTAATACTACCACGCGACCTTTTTATAAGCCATCTTCCCCTCTTTTCTTCTCTTCTCTCTTCTCTCTTCCTCTTTGTTCTCTTCTTATCTACAACTGAATCCCATTTCATCTAGTCCAATCACAAAAGGTAATCCAAAATGGGCCACCGGATGCAAATGACGTCGTTGACTTTATTCCCGTGCATCTCACTTTTTCCGGGCTTTGGCTTTTTTACAACTTCCCTAGGACCTTTTCTTCTCTTCTTATCTAACTAACTTCTTTCAAAGGACATACATCATCCCTATCCCCAACCCCAACCCCAACCACGGATCCCTTCGCCTCGATATAGGTTGCCATTTCTCTCTCCCCACAAGATCAAAGTCAATTATTCTTGATGTCTGACGAGAAGACTCGCCGCCACTGGCACGGGACGGCCGGTGACAGACATGAACAGTGAGCTTAGAATTCTATTTTTACTAGCTAAACTAACGAATCGGGGTTTAGGCTCAATGTTTGGATGAATGTGAGTACATGATAGAGAGTGACTGGAGTTTAACGAGAGACTGAAGAACGGGACAGGGTGGAGCGAAGGCTCCCAGTTCACGCGCTCCTTGGGCTATGGCGCCTGGTACGGAGTCCCCATCTGGTAGAAAAGTATGTCATCTTCCCTTTTATTCCATCTACTACCCTGCCTACTTTCACTATCCTTTCCCTCTTCACCATACAAAACCCTACAAGACCACAACATTCTATACCTTACTATACTATCTACACTCCACGCATATACATACGCATACACATTCACATCTACACCAACGTTTACATCGAACCAAACGAAATTCTAACAACAAAATGAAGGACTCAACAACCTCAAATAACTCCAATTCAAATGCCTCCCCAACAATCCCAAGCCTCGGCGAACGACGTCGCTCCAGCGCCAGCTCTGGCGGTGGCCTCTTCGCCAACCTGCAATCCCAGAAACGAGACTCTACAAGCCCCGACATGGCTACTCGTCGTGCGAGCTGGAATGAGCAGGCTGCCAAGGGCGGTCCGTTTTCGAAGTGGTGGGATGGGTACATGCGTGGTAACAAGTAGGGTTGGAGCTTTGTAGGTGGTTGTGATGTTTTTCTGGTCGATCGAGAGTGGATACTGGAAATGAAATACCATAAAAAAAGCGGAGAGCTGGTGGTATTATGAAGTTTTATGTTTTCGTTTCTGCAATGAAGTGTTGTCATGTTTTACTCTAGGTATGAATGAAGTACAATGAAATTGATTGTTTCCTGTAATCCATCATAAATATCATGTACGCCTTCTCTCCCAAGAAATTTAACGTCGTTATCAAACATTTACGCTGCTTTTGGAGAGCTTGTAGTCTCTTGTATTAAAGAGTAAACACATTCGGTCTATAGCTATAATTATAAAAGGGGTTAATAGCGCCACTAATAACTTTTTAGACAGTACAACAAATCTCAAAGCGAGTATACCGTTTATGCATTATTTTTGGCCCATTTTCGGGTGCCACGGGCTAACCATAAATATTATGTAAATTAAGGGTATGAAAGAATCTATAGCCTATGATACTAGGATCTTACTATAGGAAATACTATAAAAGGGTTCATTGTACTTACGATCCTCCTTTCTTCTCTTTTCTCCTTACCATCTCGGCAACAAGGACCAATTGCATACAATTAACCTGTCTTGGCCAATAGAACAGCAACAAACGTGTTTCAACATTCCTCTCGTCACAAAATGGTCCCACCCTGATCAATCAGATTTGTTGATGTGTCGTCGCCATCAAGTGTTGTGATGGGGATAACCCAGGGATTGGTACTATTCCATCGTGAATTATCGTTGATCATGATATACCAACAAATCAGCCAGTTGTCGCAATCGATTCAACATGACGGAACCACACGAGCGCTACGAAAAATCTCAGATGATGATAGCAACTCAGCATACGCGACCGACCGAGCTCTTCTCGCAGTGGGCAAAAATCTGGTTCCAAAACGAGTTCATCATCTCTATTGTGGGATCTATATCATCGTGTGGCAGTGAACAACCGGCATGGCATAATTGCCTCAGGGATCAGGCCTCCTTTGTTTGCTTACCCTAGTCTATAGGACGATTTACTCTGCTGCTGCTCTATAGAGAATCGACATCTCTCGGGCGTCCTTACCTAGGAGTGTTGTTGAAAAAGTTGAACGGCTAGAACTCTCACTAGTTTAGCTAGAGATCAAGTGGACCGAGCTCCATGGGCCACTACAGGGTTAAGAGGTTAAGCGAGTGGAAGTCCGTTTGTTACGTGCCCACTACAAGAAACTTAGACTAAAGCATCAATTAGGAGCTTAATCTTCGCAATACGCAATAACATTGCAAAGAAGACCCCCTTCCAAGGTCGGAACATTCCGTAGGCTTAGGAATGCGGACCTACCGTCCCAATCCAGCAGGTGGTCACGCTACCTTATTTGCGTTTTCAGCTTCACTATAATATTGTACATAATTAAGAAAAATTACGAGATGGTCAGGGCCGAATTGGTAAGATAATTAAGTAAACATTCTGAGAGAAACCACTCTCAAAGAAACTGAAACAAGAGACAGGCTAGGCTTGGCTTGGTTCAAAGGGTCCTTTCCTGTTTCCGTTTTTCCTTCCAATCCTCATTCTTTCAAAAGGGGAATCCGGGGCAGGGGTGTTTATTATAACCCCTACAAACCTTATATACACAATCGAGCCGCTTTCGGTTGAACACTCAAGTCCACCTCATCTGTGACGGTATAAGTTAGAATCTGTAGACAAAAGACGTATTGATTCCTTCCACTCTCTCAATTCTTTCTAGATCAAGTCCAGAGTCCGAAAACTCCTAGAGTCATGGCCCTGATCTTTTTTGATCTATCATCATGATCATCACACGCCAATCATCCATACGCCTGCTTTTCTCGCTCCTAACAGTGAGTGTAACGCTGTCCAAGGGCCTACATCTGCTTCAGCATGCATCTTCTATCCCACGAGCCCATTTTGTTATTTACTTTCCGACATTCTTCATCCTTGAAACGCTGTTGTGTGTGAATGCTTGGCTTCTGCTGTTTAAATGTACCGGCTTGAAGTCTATCCTGGGCACTGCCGTGACAGTGGGCACCACGTAAGTTATGATCCCATTTGAAAATAGAGAGTTAAAATCCTAATGGCGGGCTGCAGATTCTTGAGTTATATCCTCTGCGCATCTCAAATTGGCTTTTATTTAGTAACTGGTTCGTCCTACACACTCCGTCATTCTATGCATTCTTAGCAAACGCATGTCCTCATAATTTTTAGGCAACGAAATCCGTTGGGACGCAGCGAAAGCGGCAGGGAGCGACCCCGAAGGAGTTGGACTGCTTCTCTCTGGATTGAGGTCATTTATGGGGGCTGCGAGTCTTCTTCTGACCCTCTCATGGCTACTCAAGAATGGAGTATATTTTGTGATGAATCACTGGTTCTCTGCGTTATTTAGCAGTCCATCGATCGAGACCGCAGACGCAGAGGGTCTTCTGCCCAGTTCCCCAAGGAAGGCTTCAGCTTCAAGCCCCATTCGACTCTGGACTATCATGGCTGCGATCACAGTCGCAACTCTGCGTCTGACTCGGCCACAGGTACCTTACAACCACATGTCTGGCGCAATTCCATTTACCTTTTTCCAAGAGCTGCGTGCACATCCTAAGCAGGGGCAACAAACTGGAGAACATCCATTTCCACTCGCAGCCCTAGTTGGAGAAGGCCACTTCAAAGTCTGGGCTCCAGGCACGTCAGATTCCAAGTCAGAATCAAGAGCTCCGCCTGCATGGTCTTCTGGTCATTTGCCAACAGGATTTGAGCGGTGGGACGAGCGAATGTCTGTCAAGCAGACGGGAGAAAATGACACTCTCGGAACGACTACTCCCAGCTTTTATAGCCCCATGGATGATCCTTTGCGAATCACGAATCTCGACCAGGAAATACTTGAGCCTTTGACTCGGGCTCTTAAAGACCACAAGGTCCCGATCACCCATGTTGTTCTTGTGTTGATGGAGAGTGCTCGCAAAGACATCTTTCCTCTCAGAGCCGGCTCACACTTGCACGAAGAGATTCTGTCTTCTTATAACACCCGTGACCCTAAAGTACTCCAGAGAGCCAATGAAAAGCTGTCAAACCTCACACCAATCGCAGAGAAATTGACAGGTGAATCTGGCGGGTTTATGAAGTCCCAAAACAGCTCTCGACCTCAAGCTGCTGAATGGGAAAATACAGCAGCACCCGGAATGGGCGGTATCAACATTGATGGTATTCTAACTGGCAGTACTTTGTCATTTAAGAGTGCAGTAATGAATTACTGTGGCATGGGGCCACTGCCAGTGGACTTTATGGATGAGGTTAAAGCAAAGAACTATCAGCCGTGCATCATGCAGCTTTTTGACTTGTTCAATCAACTCAAGGAGAATTCGACAAAAAATGACCCAAGCTTTCAGAGATCACACGGCGGGCTCGAGTCTATACAGGATCGCAACTGGACTTCTGTGTTCTTGCAGTCTATGTGAGTTGATTGCTTTATATTCATGACGTTGAATAGATCGTTAACCGTGATAATCCTTCTCGTCGTCAGAACAGGACTGTATGATGACCAAGATAAGCTCAATGAAAAGATGGGCTTCCACAAATCAATATATCGTGAGCAAATTGAGGAAGATGACGCCAAACACTTCCATCCGGGAATGGAGGAGATCAATTACTTCGGGTACATCTCCGCCCTCAATTGTTCTTATGTTGTTTATATGCTAACGTCAACCAGGTATCCTGAGTATGAGATATATCCATACCTGCGAGATGTGGTCAACAATACAATCAGAAACAATGAACGCCTTTTTCTGTCACATTTTACAAGCACAACTCATCACCCGTGGGGCACACCCAAGGATTATGCAGTCGAGCAATATTTTGCTGCCGGGGGTCTCATGGCGAAACATGAAGACACGAATCAATATTTGAACGCTGTCCGATACGTGGACACCTGGCTCGGGGATATGATGAAGGTCCTTGATGAGTTTGAAATTGCAAACGAGACACTAGTCGTCTTTGTGGGAGACCAGTAAGTTGCTCTAATATACCTCTACTAATGGATCTCAGAGTCATGATCTAACACCGAGCAGTGGCCAGGCATTCAACGAAGATGCCCCAGTATCAGGAACCTACGAGAATGGACATATCAGCAACTTCCGCATCCCACTCCTGTTCCGACACCCTCTATTACCCAAGCTTCAGATAACAGCAAATGCAACTTCCATGTCAGTCGTGCCGACTATCCTCGATCTACTCGTGAGCACAGGCTCCTTGAACGAGATGGACTCAACCGCAGCCCTCGACCTAATGAACGAATACGAGGGCCAGTCGCTTATACGCCCGTACCAAGCCACTCACAATGGCCGACAAGCCTGGAATTTCGGCATCGTCAACCCCGGCGGCACAATGCTCAGCGTCGGATCCGCGGCCGTCCCATATCGACTCATATTACCACTCAATGAAGACTTCGAATATGTCTTTTCAAATTTGGAGACCGACCCGAATGAACTGACTCCATTGCGAGGGTGGTCGCTGGAGGAGCTGATCACCCGTGTACAACGAGTGCATGGAGACAAAGCCGGAACGTGGCTAGCAGATGCAGAAAAAGTAAGTTGCACCCAAGAAAGCCTTTATTCAATATCTAAACGATGTTCTAACCCTAACTAGGTGGGCAAGTATTGGGTGGAAGAGCAAAAACGACGTTGGAACTACCAATAATATAATATATGTCATAATTCTAGTTAAAATTGAGAATATTGAAGAAGTAGAACAAGAAGAAGTTACCCTTTTTTTTTGCTCTCTTTTTTGCTCTCTTTTTTGCTCTCTTTTTGCTCTCTTTTTTGCTCTCTTTTTGCTCTCTTTTTTGCTCTATTTTACACAGTTCTTTTTCTTCTCCTAACTATAAAAGCTTTTGATTTTTTTTTTTTCCACTTACCTTCTCCTATATTCACCGTCTCCTATCGATTGGCCCTCTAAGCTTGCGCTGAACGAAGCGTCTGCTGATACGCATCTTCTAGGTCTCACCCCATCCCCGGGTATAAAAGCCTGTCCTTCATCATTTTTGACTTACCTTCTCCCACATTCGCCTTCCTTGCCGGCCCTGCGCCTCCAAGACTTTATCAAAGTCTGTGCCTGGATGGCCATAAAAGTCATCACACTGCAGACTTGTTCTACTACACCTACCGCTTTGGCACTTCCTCTTGCCCCAGTCATTCCAATGATTTGGATGATATACTAAAGCTTTTGTTGTACCTTCGGCTGCACATTGCTTGTTCAACTCGAGACAGAGATAGGAAGTGAACTGCTTGTTGTTGCGCTGGACGGAGTGAAATCTGCTCTCACTACACATCTCAAGACCCATAATCCAGAGTACATACGATTTCACTGTGAATTCCTAATTGTGGACGGTCTTACACAAAGGAGGGTGCTCTCACTAGGCATCTCAAAACCCATAACTAAGAGTGGGGCGATCTTCCTGTATCAGAAGATGATTCAGGAATCCCAATTGACCCGGCACTTCTCGGTGCGAATAAGAACCTGGAAAGCTTCGTCATGAGACTAGCTATGCTTGCGAATAGCACCCCACTACCAGGGCCGATGACACTCTTTATTGTCCGGGCGTCATCTGGCAATCACGATCAAACGACTTCACGACTGGAACTTTCCCTAGCTGAACTGGAGGCAAAGTGGATCGATCATCACGGTCCAATACAGGGGAGTTCACGGTTTCTCACGATGATAACATCATCAAACGCTATCCCAACAGAGGGAAACTCATATATCCGATCAGTGAAAGCCGCGCTATCAGAATTGACAGTAAAGGGCGTCACAATTGTGTTTACTGGCCATGACAGCCTTTTCACAACGCAAGAAGCAAACCGGAAATTCCTCCGTTGCTTTAACGCGATGACGGATCTCGAGATATTCTATCTTGATAGGGAAAGGGATGGATTTTATCAACTGTGCCCTAAGGTGATGATAGGATTGAGCAACGGGGATTCCCCGTATGGTGATCTAACTGCTGAATGGGTTCAAAGGGCCAACTAAATCGGCCAGATCAAGCGTGTTCTAGCTGTCACAGGTCAGGCTCTATCGGATGCAGCGGGAAGAAGGAATCAGTCTAAGAAGAGAAAGAGACAATAAGCCAAGTATCTTGTTGTGACGATTCCTGTATTGTGATTATATTTATACATGTCGTGGTTATCTTATCGAGTTTATTTCTATAGAATATCGTGATTATGCTCATCCATGTCGGGACTGGTGATTGGTCTTCATTACAATAGTTATATTACTGGTAGTTCCAACGCCCTTTTTGCTCTTCCACTCAATACCTGCCCACCTGGTTGGGGTTAGATTATCGTTCAACTATCGAGTAGAGGCCTTGTAAAAGACCGTCCACAGTCTGGAAATTCACAGTGGAATTGGTACTGCTCTTGGTCGTGCGTCTCAGAAGCGTAGTGAGACCCTTCTTCTGTATGTAAGACCGTCCACAGCCTGGAAATTCGCACTTGAACCGGATTGGCTCTGGATCATGGGTTTTGACATGGATCGCAAGCTGACACTTCTGTGTGTAAGACTGTCCACAGTCTGGGAATCCACACTGGAATTGAACAAAAGCTTTAGTATATCATCCAAATCATTGGAATGACTGGGGCAAGAGGAAGTGCCAAAGCGGTAGGTGTAGTAGAACAAGTCTGCAGTGTGATGACTTTTATGGCCATCCAGGCACAGACTTTGATAAAGTCTTGGAGGCGCAGGGCCGGCAAGGAAGGCGAATGTGGGAGAAGGTAAGTCAAAAATGATGAAGGACAGGCTTTTATACCCGGGGAGGCTTTCTCGTAGAGTAACGTTATCTAAAACTTTATAGTACTCTATACATATATATTTAGGGCCTTACTAAAAGGACCCCCATTCTGACCATTTGGACCCTACCTACATTCACTAAACCTGATTAGGTCTCATGCAGTAATTGTATTTCCAATGCATTAAACGGTAAAAATGCATCAATTTCTTGGCAATGCTAATGCCCCCGAGAATTGGCGGTCATGGATCTGAGGTACTTCTATTACTATGCAGCCCCTTAGTAAAATTAAGCCCCCGACGTCGCCGGCGAGTAGTCCTACATCGTAGGCATTGAGAATAGATTCGCCGGCATACTAGGGAGCGTAGAATACAGCCTAGGCATTGCCTACAGCAATTCCTGCCTCGCCGGCGACATCTTATGGCTTAGGAATAGCTTCATCGGCATCCTAGGGTGAGGATGCCTAGTCTAGTCGCCTTGAGAAGTATCGGCTATTTTCCCAAATAGGAAATACGTCAAAATTGATTTAGTCTCTAGTAGTGACTTAATTTTCCTAGGGGTATGCAGAGTAAATAGAAGTACCTTAGATCTATAACCGCCAATTCCCGGGGGCATTAGCATTGCCAAGAAATTGATGCATTTTTACCGTTTAATGCATTGGAAATACAATTACTGCATGAGACCTAATCAGGTTTAGTGAATGTAGGTAGGGTCCAAATGGTCAGAATGGGGGTCCTTTTAGTAAGGCCCTATGTTTATGACCCCTGTTATATGAGCTTACCGTGAAAATCCTGCTTAAAGATGGTATATGGCAGGCAGACGAAGTGTAAGTTAATTGATTTAAACCCCAATGGCAATGCTTTAATGAAATAGACCCAGCTATCGTGCTTTACCACTAAGTGGAGAAGAAATAGCTGAGAAAAGCGATGGTGGTAGTATCAATTGTATAATATATACCATAATCCCAGTGATGGAACAATAGTACGAGAAAAGAGTGGCGTTGTATTGTTCGTATATGTAGTTTCTTTGTTAGTCACGCCTGAGGCATCATGCCCCACCTCCACCTCATTCAACGTTTTATATCCGCATCTCTCACACTGTGGTCTTTCACTCAACAGTCCTTTCTACATTAAAGTGTGTTTGATCAGGATCAGACAATATATCTCGCTAGGGCAGGCTCGACGCACTAAAATCAATTTCGAATCACCCGGGAGCATTCGTCTCCTGCATCCCGCATCCGCGGCGATTAACTCTCGACCCTGAATTCTCCAATTTCTTCATTTCGACATACAGAATGGAGGGAACCTATTCCGCTGATCCCGAATGGGCTGATGTCACCCCAATCGAGCTGGATGATGGCTCCAGCTCTGGTGCTATGCCGCTGGCAACGATTGCCTACCCGCCCGAGTACCTTGAGGCAACCTCGTATCTACGAGCCGTGATGGCTGCCAACGAGATGTCTGAGCGGGCTTTGAAATTGACCGAGGATATAATCTCGATGAATCCGGCGCATTATACCGTATGGTAAGTGGACATGTTGATGCGCAACCATTCATTTCCGGGGTTCCGTGATATCTAATATCCCACACAGGATCTACCGAGCAAAGATACTCTTCGATCTGAACAAAGATCTAAACAATGAACTGGAATGGCTAAATGACATTTCATTGAAATACCTCAAAAACTACCAAATCTGGTATGTTCAACCCGCCCAGAAACAAGAACCCAAACTCACATATACAGGCACCACCGCCAGGTCCTCCTGTCATCGCGAGAGCACTTCCCAACCCTCCCACCAAAAGAAGCAGACTTCCTAATGGAAATGTTCGCCCAAGACTCCAAAAACTACCACGTATGGACTTACCGCCACTGGCTAGTCCGCCACTTCAAGCAATGGGACGAACCCCGCGAACTGCAAGACGTAGAAGCCCTGCTAAAAGCAGACGTGCGCAACAACTCCGCCTGGAACCACCGCTACATGCTCCGCTTTGGGCCGCGCGATACCAGGCGCCCAGACGCAGGCATGATAAACGCAGGCGACATGACCACTGCGCCCGGCGAGAAGGGCCGATTACCTGTTGTTGATGAGGATCTTGTGGATAGTGAGCTTGAGTTTGCGCAGGAGGCTATTTTGCGCGCGCCGGAGAACCGGAGTGCGTGGTGGTATGCACGGGGTGTTTTGAGAGCTGCTGGACGGGGGCTTGGTGAGTGGGAAGAATTTGCTGGTAGGTTTGTTGGGGATGGGGGTGTTAAGAGTACTCATGCTCTTGAGTGGTTGGCTGATGTTTACGCGGACGGGAGGGAGGGGTTGGCGGTTGGGATGTTGACGAGGCTTAAGGAGGAGTTTGATCCTATTCGGGGGAATTATTGGGATTATCGGATTCGGAAGTTGGGAGTTGCTGAGGCTGAGGTTGCTGTTAGGTAGGGTGGGTGTGGTTGTTTACTTATCGCCTAAGTCATGTTTGGATAGGAGCATTTGTAACATTGATTGCATTTATTAAACCTTCTTTTATATGACGACCGCTGTGTAATGTATGAAGGACGCAGGAAAGTGTAAGCCTCTATCTAAATGATAGCCAAGAAAGAAGTCCCAAAGATGAAGAATGAAAGAGAAACATAAACATAATTCATAGATCGCAAATGAAACGCCAATGACAAATAAGGTATCAAAGTAAGAAAATAAACATATCAAGCCCATCCCTCATCCAACATCTTACGCCACTCACTGGCCATGTCAATAGTGACATTGCTACCACCACACACAATGATAACAACCCGACTGCGCTCATTGAGACCAGGAACAAGCTGCTTAAGCTTCGAGTTAAGCTTGTTACCAGCAACCTCAGCCTCTCCCTCAAGATCAGTCTCAATATCCGTCGATGAGGACCGGTCATCACCGTATCCCTCATCACGATAAGAGACAGCCGTCTCATCTGAGCCGCGCTTCCGCTTCTTGATGCTCTGAGCACCGGCAGCGCCAGAGGCAGAAACTGCAGCGGCAGCATCGCCGATAGCAGCCTCAATGCAGACTCCACATGCAAGCTCGACGAGGAGTCGTTCGTCGTTGGCTAGGCGGAGGACACCACGGGCGGCATCTGCGTCTGAGAGAACGGTGCTGTGAACTTTAACACCTGGGGGTGGAGAGACGGCGTATTGGAAGGTCTTTTCTGAGACGCGGATGGCGCCGAGGGAGGTAGCTTGGGATGTGATCTTGGGGAGGGAGACGAGGGCGTTCTGAGCAACCGCCGTAGCCAGGGAATCGGTACCGGCCGTTTCGATGGCGAGGAAGTGGATGGGGTTTGCGGAGGCGGAGGTGTTTTGCTTCTGGCGACGGCGCTTTTCGATGCCCATGATCATACCATTGATGAGGCCGCCGCCGCCGACGCTGCATAGGATTGCGTCTAGGGGGATGGCGCGGTCACTGTAGGCTTTTGTGTCTTCTGGGGTTGTTGCTGGGGGAAGTTGGGTCTCGAGTTCGTCGATGATTGTGCCGTTTCCTTCCCAGATGGGCTGGTTGTCGAAGGGGTGCAGGGCAATCTTGACAATGCCTTCGTCCTCGCCGCTGTTGTTCTTCATGATGGTTTCCCGCATGTATTCTCCTGCTTCGGAGAAGGTCTCACCATGTCGGATGACGTCTGCTGCTCCTGCTGCTCGGATCTTGTCCAGCATCAGAGGCTTGGTGGCCATGGGGACTACCACTGTGCATGGGTAGCCCAGGCTGTTGGCTGCGCAGACGGCGGCCAGTCCGGCGTTTCCTCCGGACGAGGCGTAGAAGTGGACTTTGCGGCCCACGTTTGATGGGTTGCGGAGGTGGGAAAGGATCTGGTTGCCCATGGCACGGGACTTGAAAGAGCCACTGGGCTGGACATTCTCCAGCTTCAGGAAGATCCTACATCCAGCTGCCCGGGAAAGGCAGGCGGACTCGACCAGTGGTGTCTCGATCCATGGCGTTTTGAAGGTCTGCTGTTGACTGCAGGCGGCCAGGTCGATGCTCCCCATTTTGATGTGTTGAACAAATGGAAGAGAAAGGGGTGCGGTGTGGTCTTGCTCAGGGCAGACTGGAAAGATATGAACTATAAAGACAAATGTTTCCCAAAATAGAGGATGCCTCAATATGTTACACAAAGGATGTCCAAAATAGAAAGATAAAACTCTGATGAGAGAAAAGAGAATACCAAACACCAAACCCTAGTATACAAATATTCAAACATGTTTTGATATACACCTATCCGCAGGGTAGAGTTTCCCGGCGGAAAACAACTTTCCCGGGAGATAGGACTCGCCCGCCATGATGGAAGTTTCCCGACAAGGCCAATCACTGTGGATCAGACGTGACATATCGATTCGTTTTGGAGTCAAACCTAGCAACTCAGCTTAGGCCCAGTGGAGGACCCGGGAAACCACCTTGGACGCTGGCGCACATCGGCGGAGATGATGTAAATCCTTATTCAGACGGACTGTTCGGTCGCACCCCATTGGCCCCGAGTACATTATTCTTATCAAATCGAAAGTCAAGAGTTACTCCTCAGTGAGCAGTGGAGGGAACAGAATACCCTTCTTAATGCCCTCACCGTAATCTGCGTCCGAACCGTACGCCGTGGCCGCGAATGCCCGCTTCAAGGGGTCCGAGGTGTCTACACGGAGCAGTTCTAGAAGGTCATGAGACTTGCCGGGCATAAACGGTTGCAATAGAATGCCTGCGATTCGAAGCGATTCGGCCACGTTGTAGAGCACTCGTTGGGGGTTGGGGCTTTTCCACGGCTCCGCCGCATGGAAGTATTTGTTGGTCTGGAACAAGTTAATACTCCGATAGCGTGCGGGGATAGTCCCTCATACCTGCTCAATGATGATCATAGTTTCCTGTAACGCGGCTCGTGGGTTGAGCTTCTCCATATGTCCTGCTACCTTGGTAGGCGTCTGTTGCAGGAGCGTCTGGTGTTCCAGATCGTCAGGAGTTGCAGCTGGAAGCTTGCCCAATGCCGCGTCGATAATATGCGAGCGCAAATTGCCACGCGCACAGCCAATTGTGCGCTGCGCAAGGTTTCCGATACCACCCTGGAGTAATTTCTTGTAATCCCGAATGATGAAAGAGTTGTCGAAATCCGCATCATCCGCTAGACTGCCCCGATAAGCTAGGAAAAAGCGCATGCCATCAACTCCGAACCGTTCAATGGCGAAAAACGGGTTCACGACATTGCCAGTGGACTTGGACATCTTCTCGCGATTCATCGTCCAATGTCCGTGCACTAGTACGTTCCGAGGCAGGGGAAGATCAAGCGCCATAAGGAATGCAGGCCAATAGACGCAGTGGAATCTACCGGATGTTAGCTCTAGATAAGTCTGTCGGGCAAACTCGCAAACCTACCGAACGATATCTTTTCCAACTACGTGCAAATCTGCAGGCCATACAGACTTGTCTTCTTGGCCAGGCGGGAACGGATACCCGGCTTTGGTCAGATAGTTGACGAGCGCATCCAGCCACACGTAGATCGTCTGCGTATCGTCACCGGGAACTGGGATACCCCATGTCAAACGTTCCACGGGTCTAGAAATGGAGAGATCCTGCAATCCCGAGGAAACGGCGTTTACCACGGCAGGTGTGTATGTCGAAGGTGTGATGAATGGATCTTCTCTTTTGTACAACTCAAGCAGACGATCCTTGAAAGCCGATAGACGGAAGTGATAGTTGGTTTCTGAGGACCATTCTACTTCCTTGCCCGTCTCAATTGAAACCTAAGAAGGTGAGTATTTGCACCTGGACGGGTCAGGGGAGCGCCTACCATTCGCTTCCTCCCGGTTGTTGGATCTAGGGAGTTCTGCACTTGTGTTTGGGGATAGAACGTCTCATCGCTGACAGAATACCATCCTTCATGCTTGGAAGTATAGATGTATCCCCGATGTTGCAGCATTTCCTATTCTTGATCAGCATGCGCCATCTATCGAGATCGTAATCGCCTACCCAAAAATATTGAACAGCATCTCGATGTGCCGCGTCAGTGGTGCGGATAAAATGGTCGTTGTCGAGGTTCGCAGCCTTAGCCAGATCCTATAACATCATGTCAGAAATGTGCTGGATTATGAGTCAAGAGATCATACCTCGAAGGTTCGGCAGTTCATGTCGCAAAACGCCTGTGTATCCATGCCTGCTTGAGTGGCGGCTTGTTGAATCTAGTGGTGTCAACACAGTAATCCGGCCCCATGTACGAAATTGCAGTACCTTCATTCCATGCTCATCGGTTCCAGTCAATAGTTGAGCATCTTCATTCCCAAGTAAGACCTGCCACCGTTTCATAATATCCGCGATTACCATCGTATACAAGTGACCAACATGGGGAGCTAGAACGAGCATATAGCATTAGAAAATAAAGCTGGATATGTAAACTGCGTAACTCACCAGCGTTGACATAGAAGATCGGAGTCGTCACATAGTAAGGCTTGTTGGACCTTTGCGCAGTCGCAACTCCACGCCGGGGAGTTGCCCATCCATGCCTGCAGGGTGTGCAGGTCCACACGCGTCTCGAGCTTAATAGCCGAGGCGCTCTCAGTAACGAGCGGAGCGGCGTCCTTGTGGCAGCCATTGATGAGTGGTGAAGGAAAAGATGAGTGTTGCATGTTATTCCGGCGATCTCGGGTGGTCCAAGCTTCTCCGCAGTTGCGGCCTTTTTTTCTGTTCTTCTTTCGCGACGGCGCAAACATCCCACGCATTTGCTTTCACCACACTAAATACCTATTTTGGATCATTTGTCCCTTCATTTGTCACATATACACCCTATTTCACGAATCCGACAAACCTATCACGATGGCCCCAAGCGAAGATACGTTGACCAAGGTATCGACCGAAGGTAAACCAGATCTTTAGTTGCGACCTGTTCGATGCTGAGATATGAACTAACATTTTACCTGATTTTAGCCGCGACCGAGTTTGTCCAGTCCTTCTACCCAGCCATAAATTCAAATCGCGAATCCATCAGCTCCTACTACGCCCCGGCACCCTCACCAGTCCTGTTCAATGGCAACCCTGTCGCTGACGGCGCCGCCGTGCAAGAAATCTTTGTCCACCAAATGCCCGCCGCTGTGTATGAAGTGCAATCCTATGACTGTCAAATCATCAATCCCGCATACCCCACCACCACACCAGCCGGTCCAAAGCCTCAGTCGGAGATGGGTGTGAAAGACATGTCGATTCTCGTTCTCGTCAGTGGCTATGTGCGCTATGGAGAGGATCCAGATAAACCTCAGCGTGGATTTAGCGAGACCTTTGTTTTGGTGCCGAACCCATCCTCGGATAAGGCCCGGGGTCGCAAAGAGTGGCTCATTCAAAGCCAGAATTTCCGCCTTGTTGTATGAGCAACTGTATACGGTATCCATTTAATGAACAACAAGAACGAAAAGCCCTAAATCAACGGGGACAATGCGTCCGTCATGCTTTACGTCTACCACCGAAGCGAACAAAATCTGAGCGACACCACCATTTACAGACGAAATCTGAAGGATATGTCGTGAAAACCCCAAGATTTGACATGAAAACTCCAGGATGTGTTGTGAAAACCCCAGGAGATGACGTGAAAGGGATGAATCGAAATTGGATATTACAATCATATGCCATAAGTCCTTTCAGATCTCCGCCTTTATACAATCTATATGATGAACCCGAGGCACTCGCAAATCGGCAAAAGAGAGACGAAAAAGAGAGACCAAAGTGGGGCGAACACAATGCATGAAACGGTATACTCGCTTTGAGGCTTTCGTGTAGAGACTATCTGATACTTATTAGTAGCACTATATACATATGGCCCCTGTTGTACTATAACAGGTTCCGATGAATCTGAAGTGAGAAAGCCGATTGTGGAAAGCCCGAATGATAGTATAAAAGACAGCCTAGTCACTTTAACTAATGTGATCAGGATCTGATATACCTAGGTAGAAGTAAAAGTAAACTCATTCTCATAATCATGAAAATCAGGGTCCAGCCGCCGACTTGCGCGGTATGCGCAGATTTGCCTTGACTCTTTCCAGCAGCTCCTCGCGCGTGGCTTGCTCATTCGGTAGGAGTCCTCTCTGATGGGCAGGGTCAGCAAAATTCAAAATCAGTGTACCAGATCAACATACCGCACGCAGCCATCTTGTTATTTCATCAAGTGTCCAGTTCTCCGGATCTAGTCACTGTTAGCTACTGTTTGCTATCCATGTCAATTTGTGTATACCTCCGGTGGGATCAGCTTGCGCGGGGAGAACATCACCGCCCCAGATGGAAATGGCTGCCACTGCAGTTACCATTCCTGCAAAGCCTGTTTGATCAATTAGATTAGACCGAGTGACCTGCTTTAGGTTATTTACCAAGTAATAGATTCTATATAATATCAGCGGTCAAGTAATTTGAAGGATACATGTATAATTGTTGGTCGTACCTTAGAGTTCAATGCTCGATCCAAGGGGGTCGGCATCTTGAAGAATGATGTAATGAACTTTTGGTGCTCGCAAAGAGTTTATCAAGTGGATTTCAAACTCCCAAGTATCGGAAAATGAAATCAAGGATATTTAAGCTCTTGAAAGGACACGATGCAGCAGAAAGTATCCGGTAGCAGATGTAGATGGGGGTGCACCGCCACCCACGCCACCCGTTGCTGCCTATCGCGAACTGCTATACTGCACCTTCCACCATCAACTCCATGTACATAGAAGTAACCAAAATGGACTCCGAACTTGCTTCAGTTACCTACGCTTCTCCTCCCATCCTGTCCCTACGTTCTTTATATATACATCCTCAGTCTATCATTGAACCATGTCATCGGGACGGTCATGATCGACGAAATGGAAGCTGTGATTTTCCTGACCTCTGTCACCTTCATTGTCGCGGTGGGAAGTGCCATTATACAAGGGTATAGATGGACTCCAATGCAGCGCAATGGCAGAAATTGACATGTTACAGGGTCTCCTTTTGGAAACGCTACCGAGTCCGCCTGCAAGTCACAAGCAAACCGTTGACTCCAGCTCACTGCGTGGACATTGAGGGCTCAGACATTGAAGCGAACACGCCCATCCAAGGCTCGCGGCCACTGTATCACTCACGGTTGGGTAGTCAGACTCCACGGAGATGGCCGGGGTATACAGATCGACGATTTCAACCAGTCCACATTGGAAGAGCCATGTCTGACTATTCCTTCGCCCCATATCAAATCCCCGAGGTCCCAGACGCCGGGACAATCCATCATATGCCTCTCCACTCTTCGATGCTTCCAGCCACACCTACCCTTTCAGCCACTCCACTCGCCACCGCCATATCTGCACCTGAGGCACCATTACATGACTAAGCTAGGGCTTTCTCCGCACAAAACCCTAAAGTGATCCGCACAATTCACCGTGGAGTCTAGGTCGACAGTGAGCTTCCTCTTTTGTACCTTGCAACCATACACCAACCGTCATCATGCCTGCCGAAGTTTCCGATATCAAGCAGTTCATTGAGATCTGCCGCCGCAAGGATGCCTCCTGTACGTGATGGAGTTCTGGAGAGAGCCGGGGAAGCTGGTGAAGATCGATGCTGACTGTTCCATGTTTAGCTGCGCGCATCAAGAAGAACCGCAAGTCCCAGCAGACCAAGTTCAAGGTTCGCTGCCAGAAGAACCTCTACACCCTTGTCCTGAAGGACTCCGACAAGGCCGACAAGCTCAAGCAGAGCTTGCCCCTGGTACGTTACGATCGCATCATCCCGCCGCCTGAGCTGTGGAGGAATTCGGCTCCACATTTTTGAAGGATTGGTTTTGGGTCAGCATGGAACCTATGCTGACAGTTACTATATAGCCCTCAAGGTCGTCGACGTCTCCAAGGGCACCAAGAAGGCCAACTAAATTGGGTGACCATGGAATGAATGGAGGATCGGAGTGCGGCGCGATTGGTTGATGCATGCAAGACCAACTGTTGGAAGGATACATGGCATGGACGTGGTCCTTCTGCGAGCCGACACGGGGGTCACTTGTGGCGTGGAGCATGATTTTCGCGCCGGGGGTTTCTTTGCGTCTTTCAAAACCGGCTGCAGTTCTTCACCGGCTAGACGACTCGCATTTTCTGGGCGCACTCGAGGAATGCTTTTGTCGGAGCTTCCAGTCCCTACACATCAATGAAAAAAACAGTTGAAATATCATTACCGGGTTTCTCGTTATCAGTCGAGACTTCCTAATCCATTATTCTAATTTTGGAAGACTTCCAACTCTGGATGTTTGCGCAACGCAACAAGTAGATGGTAGTTTGACACAATATCTATCTTTGCACTAGTAAGGAAAACAACAATTCTCTCGTCAGATTCGCAAACGCTACTACTGGCAATGCTCTTCTACCGCTTCGATCTTTTCCGGCTGGCACTGATTGCAGTCCTATGCTTCGTTCAATCTGATCTCGGAGAATTCCCATGTCTATCCGTCAGAAATGTCTTGTATGTTTCAATCGTCCTTGACCACCTTGAAGGTCCTTTGTCGACTGTACTTTAGTGTCAACACAAGGCCATTGTTCGAAGACAAAGAACTCCATCCCTTCCTTGTCATCTTTATTCCTGCAGAAAAACAGCCCTTTTGACAGGTCTCACCTCCGCTATAGAAGGACCATGCAGACCTGCTTTCAAAAATCTCCATCATTATCCCCGCACAAACCCATCTACTCTTCTGACTACCTAATAACCAATTGCACTTCACGACAGAGACATTGACAATATGGATTCCGGGAAAAGCCTCAGCCACCTCGGGGATCTCGGCAGACTTCCAAACGAGCTACTCTGGCAGATCCTGGACCATGTGGTCATGGATACTCCTAGACTCACTCATGCAGGTATGTGTGGATTGTATTCGCTGATGAAGACAAACCAGGCTAACGGTAAACTTATCCAGGACGGTTACATGACTGACGAAAGGAAGCGGCACGTACTCGTGGAGACCAACTCCCTGAGGTGCTATGCTGATCTCGACGACGCCACAGATGCTCTCGGACAGTCTGAACCTGAGTATGTAGGGGGTGAACCAGGCGAGGAACCCGACCTTTTTACTGGCATCATCAAAGACGACTGTCTTGAATGCTTCAGCGGGATCCTTGGATGTCTTCCGGAGTTTCCGATGATGTGCCACAATGAGAAGGGTTGGTCGTTCTTTGCCGCGGCTATTGAGGCCAGAGCGACTAAGATCCTTCGGCAGTTTGTGACATCTGAATTCCCTGCTCACGCTAGAGAGTTCCTCTTTTGTAAACCCCACCCTGGGTCCCGTTGGACTCTGTCTAATCTCGGATTGGCTGCTGCTTTCAAGGACGCTGGCACTTTTACTGCTCTCTTTCAGTACTTGCAGAACACCATGGACCCCACTACTTTCAAGATGACCATTGAGTCGAAATTGACCGACAATGTGAAGGGAGCCATTCTTCAGTTTATGACCCCTGCTCTTCAGAACATGTTGGACCAGGGTGGTATTGTGATAGAACTGCACCAGGGCTTTTACCACGGTTAGAAGGCTACTATGATGCTCTTGGGTTTTTGGTCCTTTTATTAGAATAGATAGATCCCCTTAGGATCGCTAGATAGATTTCTTTGGATTTGATAGATATCTGTAAGAAACAATACAACAAATGGTTTGTTATGACAGTCCAGTCCATTTCAAATGTAGCGTTGAGTTTATTATTAGGCCTTGTAGTAAGTATCAAATCTCGCGTATATAACTTCAGGCTTCATTGCTATCCGTGATCAAGATAGGCTGCCCTGAGACACTTGACCAAGGAATGCAGTTATGAGTCTGCAATGGCTCTGTCTTTGAGCTCTTTGTTTCCTGTCACGCCCTTGGATCTTTTTTTTTCCGTTTCTGATATCGAAGAACTATATTAGAGGTTATTCTAGACCTCCATAATGTGTACTCAGTCACATCCAAATACCTCTTCAATATTTCATAATGCGTTCTTTCTATCCTTTGTTTCTTTTCGCGTCTTTAATCCTTTATTCTCATTGTGTTCATTGTTCACTTTCCAGAGGTCGGTAAACACTATCTATGTGCCTCGGTCAGAATTATATAAACGCCTACATCCGCGGAATAAACCATCACCAACTCATCTTTACTCTTATTGCCTTTTGGAACAACACCCGGTCACATATCGTACCAAATCATTAACACCAAAAATGGCTCCACCAGCAAAGGCCCTTGGCAATATTGGCGAACTCCCCCTAGAGCTTGTGGACATGATTCTTCGGAATGTTGAAGACAAATCTGGTAGGTTAACCCACAAACAACTGCATGATCTGAATGCCCTGCGAAGGACTAACCACGCCACTAACACATTCGTTCAGGACTGGATCATCCGTGAGGTAAAGAAGATCAAAAAATACCCCAGCCATACAGCGGCACTCGAAGCTCTGAGCAATGCTCAACAAAAGGCGATTGAGCCTCCAGGAAGCCAGGTATGTCTCAACTGATGCGTTAACCGAGGCCATTATGGAAAACTGTACAGCCTGTGTCGACGGAATTTGCACCATTCTGGAGGTCCCCAGCGGCCTAATCTATGCAATAAGCATGGCTGGTCGCTTCTTTCTCTGTCCTTGCACTGTGCCGAGACATCTCGCTGTTTGCTAGATTCTAGTCTTATCGAGGCTATTGAGGATCTTTAGTTAACTAACAATCACAAAAGAATAAAAAACCACCCATCGAACGAGTAGTTCGCATATACTGCTTTTTCAAAGTAGTTAATCAATAATATCACTATTTTTCTTTGAAACTATTCCGTATTTCCACATACTCTTATAAACGTAGATCATTACTATTCCAGCCACGGGCTTGTAGACTCCTCTACTTCTGACATCTACCCTCCTCCTTATTACTTGGCATCTTGCCTTGGCATAAGGTCTTACCCTAGGACTTCAGTAGTGTGACAAAAGGTTATATAATGTTTCGTATTGCTATCGGCCCGCTAACCCCGGATCGTCACGTATACTGCCACTCTTGGCTGCAGAGTCAGCCTTGTAGGCTATCTCCTGTACTTCGGTAAAATTAGAATTCCAATATAGGTGACGGTCAAACTTCCGTCTCTCGTAGCGATCGGCCTGCGATATATAGCCTGAAATAAACCGAACTCTTTGGTGATACCTAATCGTTGATAGATGGAAATATAACAGGGGTTATAAAGATGTACATAATGCCCTGAACTAGTAGACAGTCCCTGCACGAAAGTGCCTCGAAGCGAGTATACCGTTTCATATATTGTCTTCGCCCTACTTTGGCCTCTCTTTTCTCACCTTTTTTCACCCATATAAAGACGGGAGTGTGAAAGGGCTTATGGCCTATGACTATATGTCGATACTTTTATGTGTAGGGACTTTCCCTCCAAGACTTTGGCCAGAGTGTGCTCCTAGGCAAATGAAGTGGCGTAAACCCGTGATCCTTTTACTATACGTTAATCCAGCTAGATCAAATACAGGGACCCCAGAAAACGGTCCAATTGGTAAGGTCAAGACTTCTTCTATCTTGAAATAACTTATTTCCCACCAACTAGAGACAGTTGCTTTCACTGTATACCGCAACTCAGCGTAGGCTGTCTTGTTTTGAGGCTATTCCTATACTAAAGCGGAGCTACTTTAGAAAAGGGATGCTCGGATCAATCCATTCAACAAGACGGGAAAGCGCCAAAGGTATAAATAGCACCAAGATCAACTTCGATAGATGCTACTGAGATAAAACATCGACTTTGATCTTCATCAAGCAAGCCTGGACAAAAATGGCGCTCTCAAAGCTATCTGTTATTTTAACACTCTTGGCATCGGCCTCCCTCGTGGCAAGCCATGGATATATCTCCAGCATTCTTGCCAACGGCCAAAAGTATGCCCACCTTCATGTCCTACATCTCCTCTCTATATGAAAATCTAACTCTACTCCCAGCTACACCGGCTATATAGTCGATAAATATCCTTACATGACCTTCCCTCCACACAGCGTCGGCTGGACTACCAAGGCGACAGATTTGGGCTTCGAAGCCCCAACAGAATACCAGGACCCAAACATAATCTGCCACCGAAGCGGTGTAAACGCCGCCATCAGCGCACCAGTAACCGCAGGCTCAGACATCGAACTCCAATGGACGACCTGGCCAGATTCGCACCATGGGCCTGTGATCACCTACCTGGCAGCATGTACGAACAATGATTGCAGCACGGTCGACAAGACCACACTGAAATTCTTCAAGATTGCCGAGAGGGGTCTTGTGGATAATTCCGCTGTGCCGGGCACTTGGGCTACCGATGAGCTTATTGCGGCTGGGAATCGGTGGACTGTGACTATTCCTTCGACTATTGCTTCTGGTAACTATGTTATGCGGCATGAGATTATTGCGCTCCATTCGGCGGGGCAGTTGGATGGGGCGCAGAATTATCCGCAGTGTATCAATCTGCAGGTTACTGGTGGAGGCAGTGATGTGCCTGCTGGTACACTTGGTGAGGCGCTGTATACCGAGACCGATCCCGGGATTTTGATTAGTATTTATCAAACGCTGAGTGCGTATGTTATTCCTGGTCCGGCTTTGTACTCTGCTTGAGCGGATACAGAGTACGAGGGGACGATGTTAGGTATCTGTCGTTACAGGCTGTCATTGTGAATTTATAGTTCTATTAGTATATCCGAAAGCTAGTTACATACCCAACACTATCCAAAAACCCACCTACTCAGTACGTACGCTCATAAGACAAAGCAACAAATCCTCTAACACCAGCCTTCCTAAGAGTAGCATCAATACTACCAAGGCTCAAATCGCTCCTCCTCAGTTCCACCTCATTAAAAAAGTTCGGCTCAGACGACTTCACAAAATCCAAGCCCTCAAACAACGCCAAACTTCGTACATTATCCTTCCCAATCTTAACACTCAAATAATCAAACTCCAACGTCGAAGCCGTCGCAGTCTCCGTCTCATTCGCCTCAACCTCAACCCCAGTCCTCAATTTCCTTACAGTCTCAACATCAACCCCACCCCCACCAACAAACTCTTCCAAAATAGCCCCCTGATACTGAACAATATACCGCATAAACATAAGTAACGCGGCGCGCCCAAACCCACGGCGCCGGTTGTTCTTTTCGGCGATCATGAGCTCGATCTCTCCCAGTATTTTTGGCGGCGAGTCGCCCTGTTCGCCATCATCAATGCGTAGGAAGAGGTTTATGTCGCCCACCATGTTTGGTGGGCCATCACTTTCTCGTTGGAGTTGGTGTTGGCTGGGCTCTTCCTCTGTTGGTCGGCAGACGATAAAGGTTAGTTTATCTGCGTCTGTTCGCCAGCTGAGTTGCATGTTGTATTCTTCTTCTAGGGTTAGGGGCTCTGAGGCTGTTGCTTCTTGGATTTCCTACAGCTTGGTTAGTATGTTTGACATTTTGGTTGGTTTGTAGAGTTACTTACTGGGTCTTTCATCCATTCGTGGTACTGCGGTACGTGCCATGATGAGTACGGGACTAGCAGGGCTTTTGAAGATGAGAGGGCTATTTAGGATTGGATGTAATTAGTATATGGGTCTTAAGCTGTATTCTGCGTGGGTATAAAAATGGATATAGGTGGAGGAAACTGTACCGATGTTGGCATTGAGGAGCATTTTGCGGATGTTTGGATGGTGTCTCTAGCGTCATCCGACTGACAGAACTCTACCCTTGATGTATGCTTCACCCTAGAGACTTGATCTGATGTCTATCTGGCTCGACGGGATATATGAGATCGGAAGTTGGTGGGATTGATTCTTTCCAATGTGGGGCTTGGCGGAACCAACGAGCTGCGGCCCAGGTTGATCTATATAATTTCGTGAATATGAATATTACGAACACTGGGATGAAGAGCAAATTGTGGAAAAATGTAATAAATGCTACATGAGGTATTTGATTGGTATTTCTATCAATTCACTTTTGTTCTTCGTGTCCCTTGAAAACCCCGAACTTGATCACCTCGACCTCCAATGTCTCAGTGTCAACTAGTATCAACTCGCCCGTCTCGCTGAATTTGGGAATAGCAAGCAGTCGCACACGGGAGCCATTAGAATTATCATTGGCATCCATCATATCAGTGTCACCGTCTAAACGGAGCGGGACGTCGCCTTGAATCGTGGCAGTCCTGAATTGTGGCTGATTACCAGCGAAGAAAATGTGCGGGCAGGTTTGCAGAACGAATGGATCATCCGTCTGGAATGGATATGACCCTGAAGAGATTATCAGTAATAGGCTGGTGCAATTAAGGTGTCTAAACATACAGATTGTGTCAGGCGCAGTCGGAACGCCGCATCGCCAGCGAAGCATGGCTTCCATGACTCGGACCCGGGACTCAGAATCATCTGTCTCACCTTCGAGGCTGATCTCAGTGCTCTCGAAGTTGAGGTATCGGAGTACATCGTCAACGTTCTGCCCACTACACCCCCACACTCGCCATCCCTCAACATCTCCCTCCCAGGGGTTGGTGACGCTGTCAAACCAGCCTGCTTCAGGCTTGTCCTCACCACGGGGTGGAGGCGCAGAGTACGCCCTAGCCTGGGGGAACATAGCGCGATGGATTCCCTGCTGAGGGAGAGAGAAATTGGCAGGATCCTTATCACCCGGCATGAGTGTCACCGGAATGCTAGGCAAGATCTCCGCTAGGAAGTTATCTAGCTGTGTGATAGGTGACGCGTTGTATGCGGAGGCGTCATAACCGTACTTTTTTGGCATGGCCTTTTTTGCAATAGCTGCCTTGTCAGACCCAGCTGATGCGGCTTCAGTAGTCACGCTGGCTCCAAGTGAATTGCCGGCAATAATCAAGCGCGTTATTTTTGAGGAACTTGTCGAGGGACTGTTTTCGTCGTGACCCGAGAAACCGGTGTAGCCCAGAAGGTAATCCGTCAATAGCTCTAAGGTAAGTGTGTCGCTCGATGTTCCTGTGATGCCCAATCCACTGATGAATGCGATCTTGCCGCTTTGCTTTTCGGTGCCTGGCCCGCTTTGTGAGGTGCCCTCCCATCGCTGAGGCTGCGGTGCCAGGTCGGGCAGCTTGATATCAATGACTTCAAAGTCTCCATTGGCATTCTCGGTACCCAAAACGGCAATAATGGCACCTGTCGCCAGCTGTGTCGTCCGTAGGAAGTTTCCAGTAAGTCTTAGCCGACCCGACTCATCCTCCAACATAATCTGGGTCAAAGAGGGATCGAGAGGGTCGGTGTAGGTGCGGCGGGGAGGGGGCGCAGAGGTGAAGTTCTATGATTGTTAGTTAGGATGCCCTACGTAGCAGGATCAATATTGAGAGCAAGTACTGACCTCTTTCGTAAGATCGTCCAGAATGTTCGGCTTCATTGGCAAATCCATGTACACTGTACCGGCCACCCAGCAGAGCTCGCCCTGTCGCACATCGAGCACTCGATCGACGCGTCGAACCTTCTCTCCGGCAATCTAGATATTCCAACAGCAGTCAGAAACGTCCATCCACTGTATCAAGCTTTTGGAGAATCGAAAGTTCTCACAATAAGTCCATCCCAAGCGTCCGTCGCAACTTGTTCCACACTGGGCTTCAACTTGGCCAGTCGTAAAAAGTACATGTCGCCATATTGCTGCTTGTAGTGCCGTCCTTGGCCGGCGGGAAGATGAAAGGTGTGAAGAGGATTGTAATAAGAGGGTGCGCGGTAGACTGGTTCTTGTTCCTGTTCCTCCTTGCTATTCGGAGTGCATTCAAAGGTTAGCACGAGCTTGAAGTCGAGGGGAATCGGTAGTTTAGATAAATATGAGCAGGGCGCAATTACCTCGGAGGACACAGGAAGCCGTAATCGTTGTCCGATTTCATCTTTGCAAGATGTGCGGAGTTGGTAGAGGAAGGTTGACGCGTGGGCGCGTCAATTAGCGCGTTCAATTACATTCCCGCTTTGGGGCGAACTGGCCAGCTGAGACAAATTGGACTGCAGTTGGTTTTATAGGTTGGTTTAGATCTCGCATGGTGTTGATTTCTTATATTTTGTAATTAATAATAGAATCAATTCAATACATAGCGTCCATTATATTCATTCGAGGAACTTTTGAAGACATGGCCTACATTTTTGGATATAATGAGCCTCCAAAAGTGTAGACCATAAAGAATAGCAACTAAGTACCTCTCAAAGCCTGAAAGAACTGTATAAATCAAATGTGCCGTTCATAAAGCACACTTTGTAGATCGCCTATGCAGCCTCGGTCCGCCTCAAACAGCTTCAAACTATCCGAGGAATGTTGATTTCCCCTCTTTGAATATGCCAACTGCATATGTCTATAACCTGCAGGGTACCTACTACAAATGCTTCATACCATTGAATAAATCTCTATAAACTACAAGTATCCAACTCCAGTACTCCAATCCTCAAATCTTGTACATCCAAATCATACACTTTACAACACCCAAAATGTCACTCCAAACCCCCCTCTGCACTCTTCTCAATATCCAACACCCAGTCCTCCTAGCAGGAATGGCCCGCGCCTCAGGTGCACCCCTAGCAGCAGCAGTCTCCAACGCGGGCGGTTTAGGAACAGTGGGCGGACTAGGCTACACCCCAGACCAGCTTAGCGAAATGCTAACAGAGCTGAAATCCCTGCTGCGAGACCCATCCCTACCCTTCGGCGTAGATCTTGCTCTACCACAAGTTGGCGGGTCAGCGCGCGCCACAAACCACGACTACACGCACGGCCAGCTGGACGAGTTAGTCGAGGTTGCCATCTCGCACGGGGCGAAACTATTCGTCTCGGCTGTTGGTGTCCCGCCTGAGAAGACGATTAAGCGGCTGCATGATGCAGGCATTTTGATTATGAATATGGTGGGCGCGCCGAAGCATGCAGAGAAGGCGCTTAAGTTGGGTGTTGATATTGTTTGTGCGCAGGGTGGGGAGGGGGTGGGCATACCGGTGATGTGCCGTTCTCGGTGCTTGTGCCTGCTGTTGTTGATGTTGCCAAGCGGTATAAGAGTCCGCTGACTGGGCAGCCGGCGTTGGTTGTTGCTGCCGGAGGTGTCAATGATGGGCGCAGTTTGGCGGCGTCGTTGATGTTGGGGGCTGCTGGTGTTTGGGTTGGGACGCGGTTTGTTGCGTCTGAGGAGAGTGGTGCTAGTCAGTTGCACAAGGAGGCTGTTGTTGGGGCTAGGTATGGTGAGACGAAGAGGACTTTGGTTGTTAGTGGGCGGCCTTTGCGCATGCTGCCTAATGATTATATTAAGGAGTGGGAGGGAAGGCCTGGGGATATTGCTAAGTTGACTGCTAAGGGGGTTGTGCCTATGATGGATGATTTGGAGAATGAGAAGGATATTGATATGCCGTTCCTCATGGGTGATGTGTCGGCCAGTGTGACGGCGATCAAGCCAGCTGGGGTTATTGTCAAGGAGATGGTGGAGCAGGCAGTTGATATGCTGAAGATTGGTGGCTCGTTCATTACTACAGGTCCTGCGAGCAAGCTGTAAGGAGAAACGGTTTGGCATATTCGTTCATTGTGGATAATACTTGTACAAAAAACATGAACATCAAGAAGAAATGCGGGACCAACATTGAAGATGTGTCTATGGATCGAGGGCTGAAGATCGTAGTAGCCGAAAACAGACATACTGTCTATTCTTTGCTGCCCACAGCAGATCAAGGGTAGCCACGTATCTTTGCATGTCACCGAGGCAAACTCATTCGCCGAGACAAAAGAACAAAGGATGAAGACCTTCAAGGGCAACCAAGTGGGTTCATAGATGAACCACTACAATGAATATTCAACAAGTTTAGTGACAGCCGTTAACCACCGCATTTCCGTTTGCTCGGGCCTCCAGCAGGTTGGGTGGCGGGGTTGGGCCAAAGACGGGCTTCTCCGGAGGTTGGTCAACTCGGGGAGGCGGCTCGAGGTCATCCTCATCGCTCATGTCCTCTTCGTCATCTTCGTAATCATCATCGTACTCGCTTTCGGTCCCTTCATCATCACCCTCCAAGTGATCGTCGCCTTCGGCAAGAGCAAGGCCCTCGCCTCGGCCCTGGGCTTGCATGCGTCGACATAGGGCTTCCAAGTGGTGGCACTTGCGTCGCCATCTTTCCAGCTCTTCATGGTTCCGAGTTCTTTCCTCTGCCATCTCGAGAATATTGCGATTGGTCTGCTCGTGCTTGCGGTTGAGGGTATGGTTCTCCTTCTCCAGGCGCTTCGTCTTCTTGGACATTTCTTCCATTTCTTTGCGGAACGTAAGGAAAAGGTCGTTGCTGTTGTTCAAAGTATCCTCGACCTATAGTGCGTTAGTAGATAGACAAAATATATATAACGGCGCAGTCCGTACCTGCTTGAACTTCTCCACATAGATGTTGAGCTGACTGCGCAACTCGGCTTCGGTGTGGGAGAAAGTTGAGACCTGCGAGGTCAGAGCCCGACAGCGGTTGTTCTCGACTTCACTGATACGGCGCTGGTCTTCAAACTTGGAAGCAAGACTTTGAATCTCGGAGTCCTTGCTACGCAGGAGACCCCTGTAATGCAAGTCGCGGGTGTCAAACTGCTCACTAATGGTCTTGAGCTTAGCGCGGAGACTGAAATATTCGTTAGTATATTCCAATTGCAAAATAGGATATTGAAACCGTACGCTTCATCCAAATCAACATCCACCTTCTCACTACGAGGGTTTCCTTTGGCAGCCATGACATCTTGAATATCATAGAGAAGCGAATCGAGCCGTTCGTTGACAATCAAACGAGCTCTCTTCTCATTATCTTCCAACTTCTTATTTTCATCCTGGCGACAGGTTCAGCTTACAGCCCGGAGTGTAGCGCGTTCGTCGCCTGGCGCGGCTTGACGGACTCACCTTGATTTTCTTGTTTTCCTTTGTAAGCTCGCGACACAACTTTTCCAGTTTGTCCTTCATAGTCACGGATTTGCTGAGATCGGATTTGCCCTTGTCCTGGTCCTTCTGCAACTGATCCGCTCGCTTCTTGCTCTTGGAATAATCGCGGTCCAACTTCTTCATGTCCGCCAACAGTTCGGTGTACTTCTTGTGGACAGTTTCTAGGCGGCTCATCGGCGATTCAATAGTGCTCAGCAGCGAATTGAGATCTCGGGTGGCTTTCTTGACCTCGCGCTCTGTATATCAAAAACCAATGTTAGTGACCCTGAACTCCGCACGAACTAACCCCGCAGTCCAGCGGCATCACGCAAACCAGGGGAATGTCATGAAACCACAGAATACAAAGGGAGTCACGCACCAATTTCCGCCTCTTGATCCTTCTCGCCGGCCGCATCTTGCTCCAGCTGTGAGATTTTGGCGGCCAGAAGTTTGGACGTCTCATTGGGGTCGGCCGCCTTCTTCCCCTTGTTCTTCTTTGCCATCGTGGTGGACGACATGTTCGGTTGTCTGCGGAAATCGTAGGTTCACGTATTGGGCAGGCGGGTTCACCGATGGTTCCGGAGCGTGCGCAGGCTTGGACGCCGGAGGAAGCAGGAAGAGAGTCAACAGACACGTAGAATCCCAGAGTCGTGTTCTCCGCAAAGGTTACAGGGCTCTGGGATATTGACGACGTCGCGGGAGTTGAGTCTTGAGTAGGAGTGACCGCAGACCGGAGATCGAGGGGTATTAGTCATCTATACCTCGAACACCGGGGGTTAGTCCTCAAGACACAATATCTAGAGAAATCAGTATAATCCTGGTGGTTTTTGTTAATTGAACGTCCGTCTCGAAGTTCCCTCCAGTCAACGTCAAGGTTCTCTCTGTCCAGTCACGGGTGATGAGTAAGCTCTTTATTTCCATCGAGGCTCGGCTTCTTACTTAATCTTTGACATCTTCCTCAGATTTAGTTCTGCTTCCCTTTGATCTTTACTGCGTCAAGTCCTTCGTTTTATGCTTTGCAATTTGATCTGATATTGAAATGCTCATTTAAGATCGTCACAAACTACACACACCATGTTGCGCTCATCAATGCGCCTCGGCACGGCGCGAGTGCCTGCCCTCCGCCAGCCTCTCAGTGCTCGTGCACTAAAAGGCAATACGATCCTTCCCCGGAATACCTGGGCAAGAGCTGCCTCAACAGTAACCGACTTGGAGAGTTATCCCCAGGTTGGTGAGAAGCTCCACGGGTTCACGATTCAAGAGAAGAAGCATGTGCCGGAGCTTCATCTGACTGCGGTTTGGTTGAAGCATGACAAGACAGATGCGGACTATATGCATGTGGCTCGGGATGATAAGAACAATGTGTTTGGAATTGGATTCAAAACCAACCCTCCGGATGCCACGGGTGTGCCGCATATTTTGGAGCACACTACCCTATGTGGAAGTGAAAAGTGAGTGACATGGACGTGAACGCATGGAAGAGTTGGCTGATCTCGTGTTTCCAGATTCCCTATCCGAGATCCCTTTTTCAAGATGCTTCCTCGTTCGCTTTCCAACTTTATGAATGCCTTCACAGCCTCCGATCACACCACCTATCCCTTTGCTACAACCAACCAGCAGGACTTCCAGAACCTACTATCTGTCTACCTCGATGCAACTTTACACCCTCTTCTCAAGGAGTCGGACTTCCGCCAAGAAGGTTGGCGCCTGGGTCCCGAGGATCCCCGTGCCTCGGAGTCTGAGAAAAAGGCTCAATTGGAGGATATTGTTTTCAAGGGTGTTGTCTACAACGAGATGAAGGGCCAGATCTCGGACGCAAACTACCTCTACTACATTCGATTCAAGGAGAGCATCTTCCCTTCGCTGAACAACTCCGGTGGAGATCCAGAGCACATCACAGATCTCACCCACAAACAGTTGACCGATTTCTCGAAGCGCAACTACCATCCCAGCAACTCCAAGATTCTCACTTACGGTGACATGCCTCTGGCAGATCACTTGAAGCAGGTTGGCGCCGTGCTGGATGGTTTCCAGAGGGGACAGGCCGATACTGATGTCAAGAAGCCTTTGGATCTCAGTCAAGGACCCAAGAGTGTGACTGTTCCCGGACCTATCGATACATTCGCCAGCGAAGACAAACAACACAAGACCTCCACTTCTTGGTACATGGGTGATACTACTGATATTGTGGAAACTTTCTCCGTCGGCATTGTTTCCTCGCTTCTTCTTGATGGTTATGGCTCGCCTATGTATCGGGCTCTTATTGAGAGCGGACTTGGCTCTTCCTTTACGCCAAACACTGGCCTCGACTCGTCTGGCAGAACCCCCATCTTCTCGGTTGGCCTCAACGGCGTGAGTGAAGCGGAAGCCCCCACGGTCAAGGATGTGGTCCAGAAGGTCTTTCAAGAGTCTGTTTCGGCTGGCTTCAGCGAGGAGAAGGTCCGTGGATTCCTTCATCAATTGGAACTTTCCCTCCGCCACAAGACTGCAAACTTTGGCATTGGCGTGATGGAGAAGACCATCTCGACGTGGCTTAACGGCTCGAACCCGATGAAAGAACTTGCTTGGAATGATGTCATTGAGGAGTTCAAGACCAGATATGCGCAGCCTGGTTACCTCGAGTCATTGGTGCAAAAGTATCTTATCAACGACCAGTGCATGACCTTTACTATGGTTGGCACACCCACTTTTAACAAAGAGTTGGACGAGAAGGAGGTTGTCCGAAAGGACAAGAAACTCGCTCAGCTCATTGAGCAGCATGGATCTGTTGAAAACGCCGTCGCTCACCTTGGAGCAGAGGAGTTGGAACTTCTCAAGATCCAGGAAGACGCCCACAACGCCGATTTGAGCTGTCTGCCATCCGTGAGAGTTAAGGATATTTCACGTGAGAAGGAGCGCAAGCCTATCCGCGAGTCCAAGGTCGATGGCGCTGACGTTGTTTGGCGTGAAGCCCCCACCAATGGCCTGACCTACTTCCAAGCCTTGAACGACTTCGTCGATCTCCCCGACGATCTTCGTTTGCTCATGCCCCTTTTCAACGACTGTGTTATGCGCCTGGGAACTGCTAACCGTTCTATGGAACAATGGGAGGACTCGATCAAACTCAAGACCGGTGGTATCTCGACTTCCTCCTTCCTTGTGTCTTCGCCAACCCATCTGGATCAGTTCAAGGAGGGTATGCAATTCTCCGGCTTCGCTCTGGACCAAAACATCCCCGAGATGCTGGAAATGCTTTCTGTTCTGGTTACTGAGACTGACTTCATGAGCCCTGCTGCACCGGCCATGATCCAGGAGCTTTTGCGAATGACCACCAACGGAGCCCTAGATTCCATTGCCGGAACTGGTCATCGTTTTGCAGTCAATGCTGCGGCAGCCAACCTCTCTCCTACCTTCTGGGTTCAGGAGCAACAATCTGGTCTTGAGCAGCTACAAGCCACTGCCGATCTCCTCCGGGATGCCGAGTCCTCTCCCGAGCGTCTGCAGGAGTTGATTGAGAAGCTTCGCCTGATCCAGTCTTTCGCCATCTCTTCGTCCAACCTCCGCGTTCGCATGGTATGTGAAAAAGAGAGTGCCAGCCGCAACGAGTCTGTCTTGCAGAAGTGGATCTCTGGACTTCCCCAATCCCGCTCCCCAGCCTCCGCCCCGGGAAGCTCGACCTTCCGTCCAGTCAACAAGGCCTTCTATGACATGCCCTACAAGGTATACTACTCCGGCCAAACTAGCCAGACTGTGCCATTCGTCGACCCCTCCAGCGCCCCCCTCAGTGTCATGTCACAGCTTCTCACCCACAACTACCTTCACCCTGAGATTCGTGAGAAGGGGGTGCTTATGGTGCCGGTGCTAGCAATGGACCCCTCAAGGGCATCTTCACCTTCATGAGTTACCGTGACCCGAACCCCCTGAACACTTTGAAGGTCTTCAAGAACAGCGGTGTCTTCGCCAGAGACCGCGCCTGGTCCGAACGTGAGATTGAAGAGGCCAAGCTTGGTATCTTCCAAGGACTTGATGCCCCTGTCAGTGTCGACGACGAAGGAAGCCGCTACTTCATGAGCGGTGTCACCCACGAAATGGATCAGCGTTGGAGAGAACAGGTCTTGGATGTCACCGCCAAGGATGTTAACGATGCGGCCGATCAATTCCTGGTGAATGGATCTCGCCAAACGACTTGTGTCCTTGGTGAGAAGAAGGACTGGGCTGATGCTGAATGGGAGGTTCGCAAGCTCTCCATGGATGGACAGAATGGCACCCCTGCCTCCGCGTGAGCGATGGCTTCTGTCACGTCCTGTTCAGCAGCCTCTTCTTACTTCTTACCCTACGAAGTTTAATACTAACACCACTTCGGCACCGTTAGCACAATTGTAACATCACTCCATCTTCCCGTGTACTTTTATGTTTGCCCCTGAACGCCTCACCTTGTACATATGTTTCTATATCCGATCTGTATAGATTTTCTCTTCTCTTTCTTTTGTTTCTTTCATCTCCCCTCCACGCAATCTCACTGCGCTGATGATCTATACGTGCTTCGGCACAGAGCTAATCACATCTCCAACCAGCCACCACCTTTGGTTGCGAGATGTCGCATCCTTTCCCTTGTGGAATATGCAAGCGCCAGAACAAAAAGAATGTGAGCCCTTGTGGCACACTTCGCATCTCCGTTTTCGGAACCGCCCTGGACCTATAAGTCTACACAGGACGGACTAAAATCGGGAGAACATTTGTAGATTATTGCTATAGACCTGTAGAAATATAAATCACGTTTTGCATGAACAATGCTACAGTGGCAATTGCGGAGCCCCAAAGCGGAGAAACTCTAATCTCACCCCCTCACGTGGCTCTGATAAGCTTGATGTAACAACATCCTTTCCTCTTCTTCCTGCAATTGACCTATTTGTACTTCTTTTTTGTGTCTAGAGAGTCATGTAGAATTATCCTGACTCAAAATGAAGAAATCCAGGACCACGGTCACGGTGGGCCCTAAGCCGACCAAGGCCTGTATAAACTGCCGAAGACTCAAGGTACTGTATAGACGAACATCATTTCAACCAAACATATCGAATCAAACAAAGCTGACAGTGCAATAGATGAAATGCGAAGTCTCTGGGCCCCCTCCATGTCGTCGATGCCGACAGAATCAAACAGCGTGTGTATTCAAGCCGCGGGCCAATGTAAGAACTTAATCCTTGAAAGGTCGAGTCCAAACTCATGGTATTCAGGCATCCGCTATACATAGCTTGATTGAGTTACAACAAGATCCAAGTCTTGCAATTTTACCAGGCATTGCAGACCATCAGTCAATTCTGAACCGGTTATCTAGAATCGAGGCTGCACTGGGTATTACCGAGGAGGCAGATGACGAGGCTATTTCATCTTGTGAAGCAAGCCCTGAAGAGGATGTGAATCGGGCCCCACTCCAGGGAGTCTGGAAAGCGGTTGCACACCTACGAGTCATTACTCGTCCCACTGCAGATGAAATTGCCTGGTCCCGACCCATTGTCAAGCAACTTTGGAGCTCGTATGTATCTTCTTTTTCCACTCGATGTACAAAATTGAATGGTTAACAGAACGACAGATTCTTAAATAACCTGCCCCTTCTCCACTTCCTCAAAGACCACGGTGCCTTTGCGTCCCCAACACCTCTCCTGCTAGCCTCTGTGCTTTACATCTCTGCCCTGCACCACCCATCTTCGGATTTGGCATCATTAGAGACGGGCTATCTTGCTGCTACTTCTAGCGCCATTGCGGAGCTGGTTACTCTATCTTTCCCACAAGTCTCACTACAGGCAGTATTACAAAAAGATCATGAACAGGATCTTTCTCCGCAATCAGAAACACAGATAGCATTCCACAATATCCTCGGCTTGATCATGGCTAGTCTGAGCTCTGAGGCTTATATTGATGCCACTGGTATGTGGATCTCGATGGCATATCGCATTTGGCTTGATCATTGTCCCGCAGAAATGAATGCTACGACGGATGATTGGCGTGGCTTGTTCTCTGGTCTTCAGGTAGGAATACTTCCAATATACAAAGATCTACCTGTTACTCGGCTGACTTGGATCTGCATGTAGGTTATTGACATTGAACACGCATCAATGCAAATGTCTTACCCATTGCTCCCCCGACATGCCCCCGCACCCGGAATCCAACGCCTAGATAGCCACCAAGGCAATGCATTCCAGGGCCTCGCGGAAATGATGCATTATGGCTTAAGCCACTTCGTGGGCAGAGGATTACCGACCATATGGGCCTCTATCAATGCTGATGAAAATGATATTGTTACTGCCGTTCGAACCCCGTTTACTGAGAATGACTCTCAAGTCATTCGCCTTTGGGCACGGAAACTAGATGATTGGCTGGTGCGATATAATGGCTCGTCTCGTGAGTATCTATTGCATTAGATCCACGCAGGGCTTTGCTCCCGGCTGACATATGCTAGAACCCACTCCATCTGACAGACAGGGCATTCTTATCTTACTGCAATATCATCTGCATAAGCTATACGTTTTGTCAATCTATCACCCGGCTCGTGGGTTCGATCTCAGCGCAGCGAATATAAGTTCTGTGGAGAGATATGAACTGCTTGTGTCAGCTCGGGCAGTGTTAAGACTTAGACAGGATGATGCAAGTATATGGTCCAACTGGGATCTGATTGTGAGTCAACCCGAAACCTGGCTGTTGTACAGTTTCTAACGAAACAGATGATTACCTGGGCAGCCATACTCCTCCTTCGAGGCGTTGAAGACGGCATGACCCACCAGGATGGTAGGTTTAATTCCAAGAAAAGGCAAAGAATGAAGTTTAATCGGACTCCAGACCTCTACTTAATCCAATCCCACCTTCGAAGCCTCGAACGAACAAAACAATCCGCGGCAAGTATCCACACAGTCCTATTTCGCCGCCTCGAGTCCAGCATGCAAGCCATGCACACACCACCAGATACCAGCGAAGCATTAGCATTCCCAGGACCAAGTGCAGATGAGTCATGGACCATCTTTGATCAGGAGATTATGTCGCTCGCAAATCCATCGTGGTTGTTCGACGAACCTCCTCAGTTGCCACAGATGCAGAGAACCTCTGTTCAGTATGACTCTACTCCAGCTATGTTGGAGAATTCTGCGCATCAATTTACGTCACAAGGTCAGTGGGACTGCGCTGAACAAGTTGCCGGGGGCTTTTCATCAACCTTGAATCGGATTTTCGGTAATGACGGAAGTGGAGAAAATGGTAATTCGTTAATGTAAACGGCGGACCTGTGAATTTCCTTTTCGAGTTGTTTAGCGGCTTAATACGCCACGACAGCGGTGATGACACACGTGAGATATCTTCAATTCCTCACCGAACGAAAAGAGTACGACGAATTGTAGCGCCCTGTGCAGCCAGACTTCATAAATCTATACATAAATTAGCTAACGAGGTAGAATTCCTCGATGTGCCCACGGGTTAGACTCCTTTAATAACCTTACGTGATATTGAAACTATTCCTATCAGAGGCTTTTTGACGCGATAGATACTTTTTTTTAAAGGACGTCTATTTAATTATAGTTGAGGAACAATTAGAGCACCCGTGCGTACGGGAAGGTGAGATTCTATTAGATTCTAGGAAATAAGTTGGCAGCCAATCTACTTATCTCGAGCTTGGACTACTAATAGGCTAACGCGATGTCTATCTTAGGATAATTAGCTTTTAATTGAATTAAAAGAGGGTCGTGGCTTGCTATAGAAGTAAATCGTAAAGTTTTGCCCTAAGAGGTCGGACCGTTCTCTTTAGGTACGGTATTGTACACACCTTAAAAGGCTAATTATGCTAGAAGCTCCGGGCAAATTACTAACGGAAGAATAGAAATTGTGAATAAAGCCAAAGCTAGGGATAGTCCAGCGCCACTTCCCAGCTTGATACAGTAGGGCGAGATCCGATCTGACAGCTTTATCTCCGAGGATCATATTAAGAATAGAGACCCGCTCCCTTTTTTCATGTTTGGACTGCACGTATGGAGTACCTAGCATACACGTGTATTTTACTACCAATAGCTAGGTACGTAGCTACTTGATTTCCTCTGCCACCTCTTGGTTTTCCCTTTCCGTTTTAGTGCTCGGTCTTTGCCGATTTTGCGCACCACCTGAAGCTTCGATTTTTCCTGAAAGTGAATGACAAAATCCATTATGCTATTGGGAATAGTCACAAAATATCAACATTTCTATAGAAAATAAGTGGTAAAAGGAATCTAGAAATAGAAGGCAAACGGTGAAGTAAAAGAACCCAAAGCAGACAACATAGAAACACCCTTAGCTATGAACACAAATACGGGCCGCATAACCAGCTTCCCGACGCATGATGGTCAATCCTAAACTTTGGTCATCAGTGCATCGAAGACTTGGCATGGTAGTCTGCCAGAATGGCATCAGAAATCTTCAAAGCCATGGCATAGAAGACAGTCATGACATGGGAAGACACTTGAGTCGGCGGGATCGAGCCGTCGACCACGCGAAGACCTTCGACACCATACACTCGAGCCTCAGAATCAACAACTCCACCAAGCTCCTTCGCCATCATCGAGCAGGTGCTGACGGCGTGCCAGTTTGCGCGGAAATTCTGCTTGACATAATCTACCCACTGGTCCAAGTCGGCATCGTAGGCCAAGCTGAGTCCAGGTGTAGTCTCGCCATCAAAGTAGGTCTGCATACCACCATTGTTGGAGATCTCGCGCGCGAGTTTCGAGCCAGCAGCTTGGCCAAGAAGGTCTAGGTCATTCATGAAGAACTTAGGGTCGTAGGAAAAGCGTCGCAGGTAGGGGTCGTTGCCCTTAATATGCACGGAACCACGGGTAAATGGAATGAGATCCCATAAATCAAAGTTGATCTTGCCGGAAGTATCAAGGAACAGTTCCACATAGGCGACTTCTTCATTGACCAGCCAATCACGATAGTTCTGATACTGGATCTCAAGAGCGGTCACGTTGTGGAAACCACCTCGCGCAACGGTCTCAGTAGCCCACTGGTGCAACTTGGTGTCGAGTAACTGGTGAGCCTGAGGTGCGTAATCCCCAAACGTCTCATTAAAAGTAGCAAAATAGATGGCCTGACCCTGACCATTACCGGAGGGTTTGGTACGGGAGCCGACGGTAGTGGTGGTTTGGTCCTGCATATTGAGACCGACAGGGAGATCAACAATTTGCTGAACACCGGCCGCACCGAGTACAGACTGTAAGCCAATACCTGAGTATTCTAAGATTCGAGGGGAGACAGCAGAGCCGGCCGCTAGAAGTACTTCGTGCTTGGCGTATACATCAAAGTTCACATTCTTGTTGGTGCCGAAGTTTACACCAACGGCTTTGTGACCAGAAGCAGTTTGATTGATAAGGACTTTTCCAACAAACTGACCAGTCAGAATCTGCAAGTTTGGGCGCTTATAGTTGGGCAGAAGCCATTCGCGTGCAGCATCCGAACGAGTCTGGTCCTCGTGTAGCGTATTGGGAATCATAGAAACACCGCGAGGGACCCCACAGTGAAAGTCTAGCTGGGTAGGGACACCACGTTCCTTCGCAGAATCCATAAGGGTCTTGATTATCGGAGAAAAGGCCTTTCCGGTGTTACGGGGACCAGCATGAACGGTGCCGTTCGTTCCATGGCAGGAAGCATTATAGTAGTGACCAGCGGCAATTTCGACATCATTCGGAGCACGGGCGATCTCGACCTTATTCATATATGGGAACAGGTTGTCCCAGTTCCAGCCCTTGTTGCCAAACACTTTCTCCCAAGAATCGATCTGGGCTCTGTGGGGACGTGTCCAGGAGCCACCGTTGATCAAAGTTGATCCTCCAAGGCCATTGCCCGAGCGAATGTTCTCGGTTCGGTTGTTGGTCGCTTGAGGGACAATTTCGTAGGCGTGATCAACAGTGGTGCCAAAAATGTCTCCGTAGGCGTTCAGATCCTCAGTGATAGCTCCATCGGTGGACTCATAAAAGCCGTTTTCAATGACCAGGACCTTGATGTTGGGGTCTTCAGTCAGCTTGGTCGCAATGGTCAGGCCCGTCAAGCCACCTCCCGCAATGATGTAGTCAACAGTGTTGCCAGCGACCTGGTTAGGATCAGAAAGAAGGCTGGATTGGACATCGATTTGCTCCGAGGGCAGGTATCTCTGGGCTGCGGCCACAGAGATAAGAAAGCAGGAGAAGATTGGAGACTTCATCTCGAGTTACAATCTCAGATGGAGGGGAGAAAAAGAAAAAGAAGTCCTGAGTCGGTTGCTATATAGTAAAAGTTCTTGACGACTGAGAGAGTGAGAATATCTAGATTTCTCCTACATACATTTAATGCTTCGATCAGAAGCTCGTCACACGGGACATTGATGATCGTGTACGAAGACCCGAGATTGAATACGGGCTCAAAGCGTGCGTTCGTCGGCTTCATTTGTCAGAGGTACCAAAATTGTGGGCTTCTGGAGATGCGTACTCAAGGACGAGGAGCATAATAAGCGGAACTACTCTCAATCGTACCATTGTAGCACCTTATTGTTCAAGGATACGTAATATTTGGAGCATGGGTTCCAAAGTTAGTCGCTCAGACTCGTGCAACTTGTCTCTAAGCGTGGAAGCAACCTTGTCACTTGCCACTTTCTTCACCGGCAAATTGGGTTTGGAGAACAAGGCACGGCAGGACGGCGCCTGATAGGTAACACATAAGGCCCAACCAACTCTACGGATCTTGGATCTGCCACATGGTGATTGATAAGAGTCCTTAGGGTGGATCAGTCCAAATCCCCTCGCTCGGTTTGCCAGGATGCGGCAAATACTAAGTCGGTCTTTAATTGAGTTTAACGCATAGCCAAAAAAGTGGATACTGACAGGGTTCAAGTTTCTTTGGCCTAAAAGCCAAAGCACCACGCACTCGCAACAGATAAATAGCAATGATTATTCTATTGAAGGGTCGGTTGGTTGGTTGAAAAAGAAGGAAGAGAGGCAGCTAGCAGCTAAAATTCTTACCTAAAGGACTGCCTTGGTGTCAAAGGATTTGACTCGCAAATAAAATCCAACTGCCTCATTAATTAAGATCATCATACTCTGTACCTGCGCCACAATGTCCCCCACTGACCCAAGGTTGATCAGTGGGCACGGCTAGCGTGATGATCCCAATCGAAATTTTTTTATCTGATCCGAGAAACGCCAAGGACGCCTCGGTGAGCAGATTTCCGAGAAAGTGATGGACTGAAGCACGGCAGCATTCTTTTGGTAAATCTTTGTAGTTTGTGCGATTTTCCTCACTAACTACGCTTAATGCCCTTTCTTGGAACTTCGAATCAAATATACAACCAACATAACAGAAAAGGCAAGCTGCAATGGTAAATAATCCCCTGTATTTTGTACACACTTTAGTCTCAACTTCCCGCTATGCAGGTCATTGTCCACCCGACTGATCGACGATAACTCCATCACAGGCGACACGTATTAAAATGCTCCAGTCGAAAGGGAAAATTTGCTCAAGAGTGGAGTGTCTCGTCAATCGGGATTTATTTGAAACAGGAGCGAGTTTGAGGTTATATAAGTTGCCTTCGCTCACCGTTCTCTTTCGCACCTCCGTCTCTTCAACGCCAACACAGTCCTTTCAATCATTACTATTGCGATAATACCTCTTGCGAGACGATCTTGTTTATAGTTCGAGCATTCGTATTCCTGTGAGTCTTTCATTCGACTTCTCCCGAGCCAGGTAGTTTCCTGACATTGGAGACTCCATAGATTCCGAAATGCTTAGCCCTAAGCTGGCTTTTTTGCTGCTGCTGCTGCACGCAGTGTCCGGCTCAGCCTACCGCTGGTTCAACTGGCAGTTTGAGGTCACTTGCGAGTCTGACGCTTACATTGCTCCTCAGAATGAGCTTGCCGCCGCCAAGTTCCTCAAGGAGCAGTACCATGAGGGCTCGCACATCAAAGTTGTTGGAAATGGTCATGGATTCGGTAACCTCACTACCTGTGTCGACAACACTCTCACTGAGAAGCCCACCTATATCGTTTCCCTCACCAATTTGAAAAAGCTCAGCATCGACAAGAAGAATCTGACCGTCACCTTTGGTGCCGGCTGGGATGTCGATGACCTCGTCCAAGAGCTGAAGGCCAACGACTTATCCTTTAGCAATCTCGGCGTTGAGCGTGTTCAGAACTTTGTGGGTGCAGCTTCCACCGGTACCCACGGTTCTGGATCCCACCTCGGTAATATCGCAACCCAGATCACTGGGCTGCGTGTGCTGGACTCGCAGGGAAATCTCCGTATCATCAACGAGAAGCATAATGCGGAAGAACTCAAGGCTTTCCGTATCAGCCTTGGTGCTCTCGGTTTAATCACGGAGTTGACTATCAAGGTCCAGCCTACCCAACTCCTGAAGAAGACCACTAAGGTGTTGAATGCCACATCCGACTTCTCGAAGATGTACAAGGAGCTTGCTGAGCTGTACAAGGAGCACGACCGTATGACTGTTTGGGGCCCTCACTTCGACTGGGATGAAAACACTCACAGCTGGGCCCTCGAGCCTACTTACTTCCTCTCTTACTGGGAGCCGACTGACTATACCGGTGTTCGCAACTGCACTCTCAATTACTGCGCCAACGGCTGCGGTGACTGCAAGAAGGAGTACATCTGCTACGACGAAGTCACTGACGCTGCGTCCTGCTCTCCCCAAGGTGTCTGTACCCGAGGCTTCTACGCAGAAATCGAGCACTTCCTTCCCATTGAGTTTTACGCGGAAGCCGCCGCCAACTACACCACCTTCCAACAGGCCCAGACGCCTCGCATGAAGGCTCCCTATAATAAGCAAATGGTCATCCAGCACCGTACCCTCAAGGGTGACGATACATATTTGTCTCCTGTCAACACCTATAACCTTGGCCCCGAGTCCAGCGGTGTTTTCGCCATCATCGAGATTGACTGGATCCAAGAATATAACAACTTCACCACTCTCTGGCAGAACCAGGAATTGGCCCATGAGTTCATCCCTCAATTTGGTGAAACCTACAATGTTCGGTCCCACTGGAACAAGATGAGTCCTCCTAATGCTACCTATACCCTGGAGAAATTCCCGAAGCTGCCCGAGTTCTTGGCTATTCAGCAGCGCCAGGATCCTAAGTGCCAGTTTGTCAACGAGTTCCTGGTTCAGCAGCTTGGTATTACCCGCTGTGCGGACTATATCTCTCTGTAGGATGTGACGCAAGCGGTCTGAAGCATTCGTTCATTTATTTTGTTTTCAAGGGTGAAGCGGCTGTCCATATGTCAAAGGGTTGGCAAAAACCACCACAATTTCTGTCCCGCGTGTTATTGAATGAGCTTTGTGTTAAGACTGGCGCCACCCCTCATTTTTTTTTTTTTTTCAGCTAGTTCTGAGATACCTTCATAACCAATTTATCCATAAAAATCATTTTCCCCTTCCAATCTGTTGCTCGACATTTTAGATTTACAATCTCAACCTCGGTTCGTTGGCAAAAAGCCAAGCTTCATTTAGGCAGAACATGTGCAGAGTTTTACTTGATCCTGCCGTCATTGGGCGGATCCATGTCAGCTTCCTTTCTCTCTATCGATCTAGACACTTCATATTTGTCCATCTCATAGTCCTCCCTCCTCTTCAAATTTGGCACTTTGGTGACGATATCCCTGAAAATCTGGTTGCTCACCCGTGAGTTCTGTCATTCGTTATATTCATCCATGGCTATATCAAGTAGTAGAAGAATCATGATCGGTTCCGCACAAGCGGATTTAGTGAATTTTTAAGTATTTCAACAGTAAACACGCCCCTAGTATGCACTCCAATTCAGTCAACCTTAAATCCTCCGCACCATGAACCTCAATTTAAACGTTTCCATGCCTTCATGGAAATCCTTCATCATAGAATCCGCCCCAGCCCACTTCTCCATCCAAGCCTCAACCTCCCACTTTGTCCCCGTTTCGCTCCCAACTTGCTCCCAGAGCTGCTTCCACGTAGCAGGATTATGGCGGTAATGCTTTCCAGCTTCATGTTTCCTTTCAGGAGGTGGCGGATCAACCCGGCCGACCTGTCTTCCAATCAAAAGAGACCCAGGCCTGTCTTGAAGCAGCCCGATAAGCCGCTTTGCAATGGTAACTTGCTTGTCCCAGTCGAAGAGATGGAAGAATGAAGCGGCATTCACGATGTCGATTTTGTTGGCCAGATTCCTTACCAAGTCCGAGTTGTCGTCGAAGATGTCTGCCATTATGAAGTGAGATTTTAGACTATCGCGGTCGTTGAATAGGTCGTAGCCTATGTCGAAGAAGTCTTGGCGGAGATCTGAGGCGAAGAGATTCTCTGATGGCACGCCGTCGAAGACCTGGTGAAAGGATTAGCAAGTTTGAGACTTATCGAGTTTACTTGACGAGATGGATCAGTCTCACCAGTTGACGCAACTCTTGTCCAACTGCGCATCCAACATCCAGTAGCTTTTCACCGGACCTCAGGCGATCGAGAATTTCAGGATACAGCGGTGACTGTGCTATAGACATATCCAAGAAACGAAAAGCACCTATGCACGGATAAGGGAACTGGAAACTGTTTAGCATCTCGAAAGTCATCCCAAATCCACCAGATGGCATTCAGAAGAGCCACAGACTTACCACGGCAAAAGCTCTATCCCGCTGGAAAATACAGGATTATCAGCATCAATCCCCCATAAAAGATCGCGAGAGGCACTTACCACTTTCTTTACATGCTCGACCACAGCCTCAGGTGGAATTCTGCTCTCTAGGATCTTCTTCGCTGGCTCAGGGACCTCGACAAGTTCATGCTCGTACCAAGGGAATTCTCGGGGGTTAAAGCCTCCATCCAGAATAGATTTGAGGTCTTGTTCTGCTTTAGCCATGATGCGGGGCAAGATGACCGATGATCGTTGGTATGTTGTGGCGGTTGACAATTCCTGTGATATGAGACTATGTATGTAAAGCGTTGGAACTCCAATACAATGCCTTACTCGAGCAATGCAGAAAGTGCAAAATAATAATACAATCACAATGCCTGGCTGATGTAGGAGTGCAGTGTGCTGTTCGTATTTTGCTGACGAGGCCCCGTGCGGGCCCCGGAGGTGTGTGGGGGATAACGACATGCCGGTCCCGGCTTGTCTATGGGCTTCGATGTCTTTGCATATGGCCTAAGTATCCGAATGGTGCGCGATGACCTTCGGATCGCAAATCGAAATGTGAATTATGTACATTGTGTACTATTTAACAAGCCAGGCGCTCTCTAGCATACGCGGATACTTCTTCGCGTCGGCACTGTAAGCCTGTTCACCATCGAGAGATCCTTCTTGAGTTCCCCGGCGGCTAGTATGATAATGCCTGAGCACAGCCAAGGTGGACCAGCTTATGCGAAGTGTTGATGACACAGACCGTTCTAAGATTTATTGTCAATGTTCTTCAGAGACAAGCCAGAATCCCTCTTTTAATTACCTAATGGAACAGTCCGTGTTTCTGATACCAGTGTCCTTGAAGACTCCAGGATATCAGCTGGGACATGCTGGAAAGACCTGGCTGGTATTTGTTGTTTTGATGGTAAATGTGACCAGAACACATAGCAAGAGGTCTTTATTGGACCGCACAAAGGACAGTTATAAGTAGTTGGAAACGCAGGAGCGAGATATTGGAGGCCTAAGCATAGACAGCCAGGAGGCTAATCAGAAGGGTTAAAGAGGGAGATGAGTCAAGATGGAGTAAGCTCCTCGCCCAATTACTCTCCAGCTCTCGGTTTCATATAGTGTGCTATATAGGTAGACATGGTGAGGAAAGAATGACTCCCGTATATCGGGAAAGAGAGGCACTTTATATATTCGAGTCTCTTTGTTCTTCGGCTTGATTGCTTGCGTGGCTATTATTTGCTCCATAGACACTTTTGTAGGTGCTAGCAAGCGATTAGCAACATTGATATAGTGGAACACCACACAAGCTATATGTGCTTTCTCGTTTCATACCCGATAGAGTGAGTGGAAAGTTGTAGGAATAGTTCATTTCTGTGTAGTGACAAAACATACATTGAAGGGTGTAAATGCTCGGACTATGTCATCGATAGCATCCGCGAGGACGCTAGACACTCATTATCTTCCCTTCATTTCTCGGCCCACATCGAGTTTTTATTTCGGAAAGTCGTCGGGGCTAATGTAAAGCATGATAGAGGTCTCCTGATGATCTATGTTCTGTCAATGAGGTTGGGGATGTGACAGAAAGATTATCCATTGCAGTGAAGTAGTTGGAAACGAGGTAATATTTTATTATGCAGTCCTTGAACCTCTTTAGCATAATATTGGCAAAAGATTGGAGAAATCCACAAGTCATAATACTTAATACTCTTCAATTCGTGTCAGGGGGTATAATGTACAGCAAAGTCGATCATAATATCATACAGGAAGTGACCCATGGCGAAAGACCATGAACACCACCGAAAGCAAGCAAAAACAGAATGCACATAGAAACATGGGTCCCAGTGCTAATTAGTCGAAGGAATTCGTATCATCAAGTCCATGCGGTGAGAGAGCCCTTGGCGAGGCTTTGGACAGGCCTTGAGACTCCAGAATCACAGAAGAAGGCGATAATGAGAGAGGAGGGAAAGGTTCAGTTTGGTTGGTAGATGCTTCTTGGCCGGAAGAATCACTGAACCTCCTTAATTGAGGGATGGATTGTTTATCCTCGTTTTGTAGCGGTAGATTTGTGCTGGTAGATTTTGTAGTTGTCTGAACATGTGCCTTGGTCAGCTTGACTTCGAGAGGACAGAAGGTTGTGCAATATCTCCTACCATATCACCCGCTCCCATATCGAGACCTCGACTCAAAGCTAACTCTTGTGCGGCGAGCCGTCTACTCTCAATGGCCGCTTCTTCTTCCAGTGCAGCCCGCTGATCTTCTGTTTTAAGATCTGCCATCGACGGCGTGTCAATCGATTGAACAATCTTGGCGGCCGGTGGGCTCGAGAATCTCTTCGTGCGGCGTTTGTTTTTCCGTTTGTTCTTTTTGGACGATGCACCGCCCAGGCTAGATGCAGAACCAGACTTTGTCAACTCAGATTTTGCTCCAGACTGATCATCTGACTCCAATCCCGTCCCTCGACGCGTGAAGGTAAACGCGAATTCATCATCAAGGGGTACAGCATCCTCCTCTTCGTCACTAGGGAATAGATCACCGCGCGAACTAAGTGAATTCGACGTCCCGCGGGATGATTGCGTCGCACTACGATTCCTACCAGCCGGAGTGGGAGATAGCTGAGCCTCATCGTCCATAGCTTCCATCAAGGGTTCATCCTCATGCGCATATCGCCGGGTGCCCGGGTGTTCTTGGAGATCAGCAGCGGAAGGCCGATACTTGACGCCGCGCGCGCCAAACCTCCACGGGAAGCGCTCAAGGAACCCGATAAAGGACGAACTGGGAATAACAGTCGGGTCGGCGTGATTATCCGGAATGTGTACTGTGCTCCTTCGCCTTGTGTTTCGAGTCCCATAGCTCATCCTCCTCGGTCGGCGCGGTTGCTCTGCATTTCCGCGCGCTAAGCCGCTACCAGCAAGGAGCCTGTCGAGCTCACCATTACCCCATCCAAGTAAGCTGTCCTCTTCTTCTTCATTCTCCCAATCATCGTAGAAATCAAAGTTAGCCTCGGTTCGGCCGCGTCGTCTCCGCCTGAGGTGGTCTTCCCGGCTCGGCAGGCAAGGGGCTGTGCATGCGGCGACACAGCTTCCAATCGATGCAAAGCATGGGGAGATATAGTTGTGGGAGAATGCGTAAAGTCCTTCCTGTGCTGTTTCGTTGGCGGACTCGAGATTATGGGAGATCTGGTTGATCCGTTGCCGGATGCGGGGGTCGCGCGGTCGCATCATGTTGGGCAAGGCGATGAAGGCACGGTGATTTGATCAAAGTTCAATTCACTCCACCGGCTGTCGCCGGCGACATTGACAAAGTCAAGGATGAAGTGAAGTTGGACGCAACCGATGTCATCTCCTGTTAGTCAGCGTGCACGTGAGATACCGATCCGGGGTAATTTTTGATGATCGCAAGATGTGCAAAGAGGAAAGAGAGATATTGGGGACATCTTGTGATGGTCTACTACATTCAATTCCTGAAGACCCCGAGGGTTTCACCGAAGAAAGGCTCACTCTTTATCTCCGCACTTATTTGCATCACCACAGACCTGGGAGACGATTTCCTCGCTGAAGATGTCGAATTAATCGTTTCCTCAATTCACAAATCCCCAGGATTTGAACAGAAAGTGACATGGAGTGCCGGGAATCGTGAACTGGCCATTAATTTGGGCCCCCTCCCGTCAGCTTTGGTCCAGCAGTCCATGCAGCTAAGCATCAAACTTCAGCCCGAAGTCACTGGGGATAGACCACTAGTGCCATTGGTTATGGCTGCCACAAGTGCACCATTTGGGCTCAAGTTACCTGCAGAGAAATTGGTTCTCAGGGACGGACCTCGCGAGGGCTTGAGTATTTGGGAGGAAACTGGGAATAGCATTGCCCGACATATATGGTAAATTATTTATCTCTATGGGTTCTTTGTGTTTTGGGTTCTAACCAAGGATGTTCCTAGGGATGCGGGCCTTGCATCAGTGATATACTTGCAGAGGGCACTGGACGATATAAAAACAACAGCTGGCAAACCAAAATACAAGAATCTCGAGTCAAAAATGCCTGCTTTAACTCGGCTCTTATCCACCACCTGCAGCTCACCAATTCAAGTGGTTGAGTTAGGGGCAGGGTGTGGGATAGTAGGCATTGCCTTGGCGAGCTTGCTACCGAACTGCTCAGTTTTACTCACGGACCTCCCCGAGGTCGAGTCGATAATAACACGGAACATTGAAGAGGCTCAGACGGCACCCCAATCGAGTGTTGGATATCAAAACCTCGACTGGGACAATCCCCCGGGTGACCTATGCAACCGGCCCATTGAGTTAATCCTGGTTTCGGATTGCACCTACAACGCAGATAGCTTGCCAGCACTAGTCAACGTGCTGGACCGATTGGTTCGGACATCCCCGGACGCAATTATCTTGGTGGCTCTGAAGAGACGACATGATAGCGAAACAGTTTTCTTTGATCTGATGAGGTCTGCAGGGTTTACAGCTGTGCAGGACAGTATACAGCTCCCCTCTCAGCATGATCAGGTAGATGAGATTGAATTTTATTGCTACAGCCGCACGGCAGAGGGCAAAGAATAAAAATACAGGTCATATATGAGGGTGAAGTATATGACCATCGGAACAAAGCTGAGAGGCCGGTTTTTTTCATGGTCCGTGCGCACGTCAAGAACTGCCAGTGGACACGTAGATGCACGAGTAGCTTCCTACAGGTGCCTACATATCTATGTAGGATATAGCTACCCTACGTGCATATAAATGTTACACGGTAGGTCTGTGTATCATCTACATAGCTCCCAGGTAAGCACACAGCCACACCTAAGTGCATATAATGCTTAATGTGCTGAATATCGGTAGTTGCATCTGTTTGCCGCTAGAGCAGGCATCCAGGAATGATCAAATCAGGGTAATCCGGTGTCGCTCACACCGCATGTTGGCGATTGAATTCAGCAATTCCGGGCACAAAGCGGGATCTGGTCCGCGCCTCATGCATCATGCACATTTCGCGACGTATAGGAAGCTGCACTAGCAATAAAAATGGATCGAGTAGCAGTAAGGTCCAAAAAATAACGCATTCGAGGCATTTTTGGTGTCAAGTTTTTTTCTGTAGACCGAGACCCTTCGGGTGATGCCGTAAGCAAATGGTTTTCCCCCACAGAGTCGTCATCTCTCTCTTCCAGCTTTCTTCTTCCCATCTCCCTCATTTTGGGTCCTCAGCTCGTTTTTTCCAGGTGAGTCTTTTTTTACTTCATGTGCGGTTCTGACGCGTGACTGTGCGGCCTTTTTTTTGTCCCAATGGTCGTGTGCCCTAAGCTCACTTACTGCGCCCCTCCAAAATTCTCCAAATTTTAAAATTCTGAACCCTCGGACTTCTCCCACACGTCCACTTTTTTCTCTCATATTTATCATAGCACTGGGATTGCAGTGACCAGCTGTGCTAACTGGTCTCTTTTTGTCTCTCAGATTTAGTCCATTTTCTAGCTCGACCCTGCCTTTGGAACCCCCAAAGGCAATCGGTCATTACGGCTCCAGCCTCTCGTCAGCTTCTTAGCCAAATTGTCTCCACTCGACGTCAACGCGACACTCTTAACAACATTCCACCTCCTGCTTGCGGTTTCTAAGCTCTCGTCCGGTGCGCCTTTTTTCGTCCCGTTGACGTCCCACGAGATTATTCCCTCGTTCTCTGAGCTGCCGCATAGGACTTCTTCGAAGGTTCTTCCTCTTCAGGGGGAAGGGTCTAGGAGGCTTGGTCCAGTCAACTTCGGTTGTGACACATTTCGTCCTCCCTAACGCGCAGTCGCCTGCCGGTTTAAATACTTTTTTCTTTTCTATCTTTTTATATCATCAATCGTGCTGAGTTGCAGCTGCACGGTTATGGCACCGACTGCGTGTGTATCGACTGCTGAAGTATGCACTTTCAGAAAAGACTATACCAATAGTCTGGACCTTCAGGGTCCCATCAGCAGTCATGGAGAGGACAATCTGTTGCAATCTTCCTTGACCGCCAAGGAATTGGTTCTGGATGTGTTGAAGAAGCGGGCCACTGAGGTGGATGTGGACCACTGTGGTCCTGGTGAGGAGGATGCATTCTACGTGGCGGATATGGGGAGGTTTACCGCCAGCATATGCGCTGGAAGATGAATTTGGGCCGTATCAAGCCCTTCTATGGTATGTATTACTTCACCGGAACAATCGAGCCTTGCTAACAATATCTCCAGCTGTCAAGTGCAACCCGGACCCCGAGGTTCTGCGTCTCATGGCCCAGCTTGGAAACGGTTTCGACTGTGCCTCCAAGTCGGAGATCGATCTGGCCCTTCAGACGGGCATCGATCCTAGCCGCATCATCTATGCGCAGCCCTGCAAGACCAAGTCCTACTTGCGCTATGCCTCCGAGGTCGGCGTTAAGCAGATGACCTTTGACAATGCCGACGAGCTTTACAAGATCAAGGCCACCTTCCCCGATGCGGAGCTGTACCTGCGTATCCTGACCGATGACTCGACCAGCCTGTGCCGGTTGAGTATGAAGTTTGGAGCCTCCATGGATATGGCTCGTCCGCTGCTCGAACTGGCCTACCAGCTGGAACTCAAGGTCGTCGGAGTGAGCTTCCACGTCGGTTCCGGTGCGGAAGATCCCTCGGCATTCCTCAAGGCTGTCCAGGATGCGCGCGTGGTCTTTGACCAGGCCGCAGAAGTGGGCCACGAGCTCCACACCTTGGATGTTGGTGGTGGATTCTGCCAGGACAGCTTTGAGAAATTCGCGGGCATTCTAGGTGAAGCCGTGGACGCTTGCTTCCCGCCGCACATCCGTGTCATTGCCGAGCCTGGCCGTTACTATGTGGCCACCGCGTATACCCTGGCCGCCAATGTCATCGCGCGGCGAGACATTCCGGACCCCACGGACCCCTCGCGCGACGCATACATGTTGTACCTCAACGACGGTGTCTATGGCAACTTCTCGAACATCATCTTCGATCACCAGCACCCGATCGCCCAGGTCCTCACCTGCGCCTCAGAGCCCGGCACTCCGAACTCTGCGACCTCGGAGAAGATCACTTACTCCATCTGGGGCCCGACCTGTGACGGCATTGATGTCATCAGCGAGAAGATCGAGCTTCCTGGCCTGCTTAACACTGGTGACTGGCTCTATTTCGAGGATATGGGCGCCTACACCAAGTGCAGTGCTACTCGCTTCAACGGATTCTCCGACAACCATGAGGTGATTTACATCTCGAGCGAGAATGGCGCTTCGGCCCTGCTCAACTACTAGTTTGAATCTGTTTTTATTGTTGAACATTGTGCATTTTGTCGTTTTGCCTGAAAATATCTTTCGTTTTGAGACTTCACCCAGTGGGAAGAGTAATATAGTATCTCTCGTGCCTTCTGCAGCATATTTCACATCGCTCCCTTTGCTAGAATCTAAAATAGAATAAAGCTGCTTTTCGCATCACTTCTCAATGATCTCACCATTGCCCTGATGGTACTCTGCGCGGGGGTGTGAAGTAAGCTCAGGTAGCGGGAATCTTCTCTCCGTTTTGATGAAATAGACAGATGCGAAAGAAAGGGATCTACTAGTGAGAAAGAAAGAATCCATATACTTCCATCAGGACTCGAATTCCCGCCAAGTTGTCCAATACTGTAGTGGCACTGTCATGGCCCTCATCATACATACCTCCCCTCAGTTCTTGTTCTGTAGTGTCAAACAGAAAAGTACTTGTCAAAAATTTGAAATCTATCATGCTCTATCATTCGTAAGGTATCAGCAACCACATTACATCTATACAGGAAACCAGCTCCTCGTCTAAGCCAGACGCTCCACAGTCAACTCTATATCATCTCCTTCACTAGCCTGCACCAGGCCGCCAGCATCCAGCTTCTTCTTCCACTTGGCGGACTCGTATCGTGCTAAAATCAACGTAATGCGGCAAATGACAGTTTGGTCGGCACCCTCAGCAACAACAGTGGAAGGCGTGCAAGTCCAGCGTCCAAATGCCCAGTTGAGAATGTAGTATTGAACACCAGACTCCTCAGTCTTGGGCTTCGACGCAAGATCATCCGAAGTCTCAGCCGGCAAATCCTGCTTAGAACACCGAAGGATACCCTTAATGCGATAAACCTCGTCCCGCGGCACAGAAGAAAGGAACTGCTCAAGAGCAGTAACATCCACCGTCCTCCCCTCAGAAGCAGCCTTCAAACAAACAGAAAGCACCTCAACCTCGGACTGATGATCATGTTTATGTTCATGGTCATGCTCATCATGGTCATGATTCCCATCCTCAACACCCGTCAACCCCCTAAACAAAGCCCCATCAATACCCAGCAGAACATCCTTATCAACCCTCCCCTTAGCCGACTTAACCCAAGGCGTCTGAACCTCCAAATCACCCACCCGATCAAGACAAGCATCAAACCGCATCTCGGGCACATTCTCCCACTTATTGAAAATAATCAAATCCGTATACTTGGCCTGCAACTTCGCCGTAAACGACGTATCCTCATACCCCTCCCAATTCTCAACATCAATCACGCTAATCACTCCATCCAGGGCGAAATGTCCGCCCTCCTCGCGCGCGAGTCGGTTCACTTCCATCGCGAGAGTGGCAGGGAATGCGCTGCCGCTTGTTTCGATCACGATTCGGTCTGGTTTCACTTCGTTGCGGAGTTGGGTTAGGGCGTCGCCAAGTGAGCCCACCATGTTGCAACATATGCATCCGTTTAGCATTTCTTTCACGCCGCTTATGCTGCTTGTTGAGGCGAGTTGGCTGTCCACTGCCACATCGCCGAATTCGTTTTTTAGGAGGGCTAGGCGGTAGGTGCTTGGGAGTTGGGGGATTAGGTTGAGGAGGATTGTCTGGGTGTGTGTTAGCGGGTTGTGTCGCTGCAGATGGTGTCATTGACGATCTGATTGTCCACGTACTGTTTTGCCTGAACCTAGGAAGCCCGTGACGATTGTGATCGGAATCGCCATTTTGGTTTTGTCTGTTTCTCAGATGGGATGGTGGAATGAAGACTGTACAGTGAGGGGCATTGAGAAACTCCACTTTGCGCTATTATTCTGCCAGACAAAAAAAACCCGGCAGAAACACCGCTCTAAATACAGTATTCTCATTACTGTCAGCATTGCCAATAATCTCTAATTGCATCAGATTGTCTAATAAATAGTGCACGAGTCTATCGCTATACGACCTATATATCGCCGTCCGGTGCGACTTTATGCTACTATTCGAACCTAACTATCGTGGTTCAAAAGCGGTATAAAAAGCGGCATTCCTGGTCGGTATAGAAGATATCGATATCGCACCGGGCGGTGACTTCCTTTTCGCTCGCTGGCTAGTTAGGTTTTTTCTATTCGTTGCACACAAAGGTAAGGGCCTATCTGAAGCATTCGGTCATATTTATTCCGAACGTTATTTTGTTTAATGAACTTGATCCCGCCAACATTGCTTCAAAGATACATTCCCTCGTAGTAGGAAATTGCGAGTACGATTCGCTAGATCTTTCTCATAACAAGCTCGCGCCCTATGTGTTCATTTCATAATTCAGACTACACGACTAGTTGTAGATAGTAGCTTGCAACCCCGGAATGATCTCAAGGTCCTTAGGCTTGTAGGTATACTTTCCTTCAGTAGTAACCTTCACATCGCGGTTGCGGCGTTGCTGCTGTGTCTGTCGAACCTGAACCCACTGCTCGGTGGTTAGATGTTGACCCAGCTCAGTGAAAGCGTTAGTGGTCAAGCCAAGCCTCTGGAGAACGGGGCTGTTCTGGATTGGGTCCAGGACAATATGATTGTTGGGACTATGTCAATCAGCATTCAGTTCCACTTGTATATATACTGACAAGATTATCGTACCGAGCAAAATAGAGAACCCCCAGTCAGTCAATGTGAGCCTGATCTGAAGGAGGTGCATGTACACGGTGAACACTACTCTTGATCAACCCGCCTGTGAGAGCAGTCAGACTGTCACAAGTGTTGACTGTCAATGTGGCATTCTGAGGCTTGACATATTTCCATTGGCCCTCAGAATTGAGAATCTGGAGACCTGAAACTGGCTGGCGGAAGAGAAGGGTTACAGTCCCAAGATCTGTATGGCCCGGGCTATATAGTTCGCCCACTTTCTTGTCTGCAAATTGTTCTTGGTCAGCCCTATGGTCATTGTGACGACGAGCTGTTAGATACATACTCTCTTCTACGCTGCGGGCTGCATAGTGCATGTAACGTAGGTGATCCTCGCCCTTGACATCATATTGATGGTCGCGCACGAGCTGATCTTCATCAGGAAGCTCGAGTAGAATTGCGAAGAGGCGGAGAAGCTTCTCTACAACTTCGGTGTGGCATTTCTATGACCGGATTAGTTAAAGAGCATTTATGAAGACTAAATGAGTAGGCTTACCCGGCTAAAGGCCTCAATTTCTTCGATATTTTCAGCAAGGACGGGAGGCTGCTGTCGCTGGTGGTGACCATCAAACTTTGGAATATTGTATACCTGCACATTGTCTTTGATACCATTTCCGAGGCTGATTGAAGACATATTAGTTAACGGACCAATTAATCCACACCGACAACCATACATTCTGTGTCCAGCTGGTCTGTATCCATTGTATTCGCCTCTCGCGAGGTCTTCGGCATTGTGAAACTTCAGCTTTTCCTCAAGTGGAAGGGCATAAAATTCGCGTCCAAAAGCAAACTGGCGATCCACCTCTTCCTGGCTGATGCCGAAATTCTTCACGTAGAAGAACCCTATATAGAGACAATGGGTTAGCAATCCCACAAACTACAGATACAGACAAAGACGACTGGATCCAGCAACATGGGGCTCATGCAAACCGTATCCATGAAATCTATTTTAGGTCTACTATTAACTCACCAACATTTCGAACTGCATGGTCCAGTTGCTTCACGAGCTTTTCCTTTCCTCCTGGTTGCTCATAAAGTTCCAAATCGAGGGTGATGAGCTCTGCGTAATCAACTAATACCAATGGTCATATTAGCAAACGAAAACAATCATACTGTACAATGACTGACGATCTTCCTTGGTCTCTGGGACATGGTTGTAGTTTTCGATATATTTTCCCGGCATTTTGCAGATATTGTGAATCTTTGAGGGACGAACTGGCTTTCTGTAACCTGAGCTACCTAGTACCACAGGCCCTCTCCGGGAAAGAAGCAAGTATATAAGCCCCTTTCGCTATTTACTCCGAAGTATACCCCGCATCGAATGTCCAGATAGGTCAGACTGCAGAAAATCACGTCATGGACTTGCTTGATGAGACGAAGATAACGGCTAATTTCCGGAATCAAGGATTCGCACGCCATTATGCATAAACATTGCGTCCGGCTTTTATTCCAACAATGGTGTCGGCCGATCCCAACTTGTTCTTAGAGCTGCTGATACAAGTTTCACTGGCCCTTAAAACTTCCGAGATGGCTGATGGTGAAAGCGGATAGATAAATGTGCTAATATGGCCGCGGTTGCCTTTTCTCTCTTTTCCTACACCGCGAGGCTAGTATGTTATAATACTCCAAAAGCCATTATCACGTATAAGTAATGACAATCCTCTCTTTAGGGCTTGAATTTTACAAACATACGGCGTGAGTAAAGACCGTGTTCAGGCTTTACCATGTCCGACCTGAAGCCTAAGCCTGGCAGGTTATCCTTGTTGGGACTTGTCAAAGAGGTATTCAATTGGTACCCATCCCATTATCCAGTTGAAGAGCGGAAGTATGTCAAATCGAACTATGAATATCTTTACGTTGTGCTAATGAGTTTAGATTACTCTTTAAATTGGACTTGTCAATCCTTGTGTTTGCCTGTCTATGCTGTAAGTAAAACCACTGCAATGAACATTTGGATTTGCTAATGAACGAGATAGTTTTTGTCAAGTATTTGGGTTAGTCTTCGTCGTTTTCTTTGTTATTCTACATAGCCTCAGACTTGATACTAACAATCGCTATAGACCAAACAAACATCAACAATGCCTACGTCAGTGGTCTGAAAGAAGACTTTGATCTTTACGGCAATGAACTTAATTACTTCAATATCTGCTACTTTACATCATATGTTGTTTTTCAAATACCTGGTCTACTCCTGATGTCGCGCCCGAAACTGTGAGTTAGAAACCCCTCCGACCTATGTACAAAGCCCACTAACAAGGAATGTAGAGCTCGCTGGCTACTCCCCACACTTGAGGTTCTGTGGGGTATATGTACGTTCGCTCAGAGCCGTGTGACAAATGTCAACCAATTGTACGCGCTTCGTGTTTTAGTAGGCATGCTTGAGGCGCCTGTATTTGCTGGAACCCACTTCGTCCTCGGTATATATACCTTCATTTTTCCTCCACAGCAGCATATGAATATATATACTAATCAGAGTATGTTGAGTAGGTTCCTGGTACTCTGGTCCGGAACTGTTCAAGCGAGCAGGAACTTGGTTCATAATGAACCCCGCAGGATCAGCAATTAGCGGTTATCTACAAGCAGCGGCATACACCAATCTCTCGGGTGTTAGCGGTATGCCCGGTTGGAGATGGCTGTTCATCATCGATGGTGTTTTCACCATACCTGTGGCCTTACTCGGTTTCCTTATTTTCCCTGGCATTCCTGGTTCACCAAAGCCTTTCTATTTGACAGACAGAGATATCGTCCTGGCGAAGGAGAGAACAGAAAGGGCCAAGATTCGAAGGCCTGGAAAGATGAGTCTTGATGTTTTCAAGAGGACTTTCAAGCGATGGCATATTTGGCTCTTTGTCGGCTGTTACATGTAAGTTTCTAGGTTCGTATTAGTGTTTGAAATTTCGCTAATGATATTTCCAGTTGCATGATAATTTCTGGGTATCCAGCTGGCTACATGAGTCTATGGCTCAAAGCGGAGGGTTACACTGTCAAGCAAATCAATCAGCTTCCGACTGTTACTTATGGAGTTCAGATTGTTGTGTCTTGGCTAGGGACTACATTAGCAGCGATTTATCCGGAGTGGATCATCTTCACGATTGCCTCCGCATTCTGTTTGTTTTCGACAATCGTCATGATAATTTGGAACGTGCCTACCGGGCTAAAGTCAGTCAATTCCGGTTCTGCATTTCCTGGTGAGCTCTTTGCTGACGTCTTCAGATTCATTGCATGGTACTTCCTAGGGGCTGCTGGATGTCTGAGTCCCATTTTGTATTCAACTATCAATACAATTGTCAAGGACGACTCCGAGGAACGAGCACTGATCATGGTGTGTAATCATTCTGCAACCAGGCATTGAATAAGAACCGACACTGACCACATTATCTTGTATAACAGGGCGCTATGATGTCGGTGGGCTATTCGTTCAACATTTGGGTTCCGCTATTAGCATTCCCAACTGCTGGCCCGAATGGTGCACCAAGATGGCGACATGGATGGCCGGTGTCCTTCGTCTTCTATTTCCTTTTGTGGGCTGGGTTTGTTGTCGCTATTGTTATATATCGAAGGTAAGATATTTTGTTCGTAAATTGGACTGGGACTAACGTGAAACTATAGAGAGCAAAAGAAGGAAAACTCGGAATTTTCTCAAGATAGTAGTGATGAGGAAAGGGAGACAGTCGTGGTCAATACGGTTCCAACGCGGAAAACTTAACTCATACCACTTCAATGAAATCTACGTTTACGTGACTTCTAAGTAGGAAATCCACTAGACTGCTGCATATATTATAAATTCTGTTTATCTGTCACCGGATGCAAGCGCTAAAATCTCATGAGACTCCAACGAGCAATCATTATGCATGGTAGAATGACTTCGGGACCTAGATAACTTATAGAGTATCTTCCTGTCATATGTTCAATGAATGTTGTAGATCCTATTCGTATGCCTTTGCGAGGAACTCAGACCCTTGGAATAGCCATCGGTAGTATCTCTCTATAAGTGAAGGATACGATAATCCGGACCAGTCTCATAATCTGTCTAGATTGTGCGTGGATATGGTAATCGTTGTATTCCTAAACGCTTTGTGAGATCTAACCATATACTGGAATGGAAAGAAAGAGGATCCTGTCCCCTACAATATGAAGTAAATGGTGTAAAGAGCCACATAGTCCAATAGGCCGCAAATGAACTGGCTCGAACTTCTCCAGTCAATGGAGTGTTGAATTCTGCAATGCCAAAAATGTATGCCACAAAGCTCTAGTTTGTCTTTCGCGGTCGCGTAGTACTCATGTGTGTCTCTCGTAGGAAGTCACAGACCCGCTCGTTGTCCATGGTGTCGATGCGTTCCTGCTCCTCGGATGTCAAGGTAAGCTCTGTAGATGACCATCTAGTGTCAATATTCACTCATATTCTATCTGGTTGGATGCACATGCGAACCTTCTGATGTCTCCTCATTGCCCTTCTTTCCGTTCGTGAGAGCCTGAATCTGCTCACCCACGGTTTGCAAGGCCTCTTGTGCGCGAGGGAGGGCATCATCCATCATAACCTCCTTCATAGTGGAAATATTTTCGGAAATGACAATACTCGCTGAGTTTCCAAACTGTGAAATTTGACTTCCAGCAGTTATGGAGCTAGCCTGATGTTTCATGCCTGCAGAAACATCATGCTCGGATTGTTGGACGGCAGTGTCAGTCTCAGCCTGGGCTTCAATTCTTTGCTCGCGCGAGGCCATGGAATTAGAATGCGAAGAGAAAGAATCGCTAGCAGAGGCAATGGTGAAGTATCGCGGATGTTTAGAGTTGGGGTACTTCGAGGATTTCGGGAGAGACGGGTACAGAATGGTAGGGCTGAGCCTGACGTAGGGCTGATTTGGCAAATTGCGACCTGGACCGTACCTCTGAGGGGCTATGACATTAGCAAGTGGAGATGTCGACAGCTATCACAGCAGGCAGCAGGCATTTGGAGTGATTTCCGGCCATGTTTCGCTGGTTGTCCACGTCGGCCAAGATGTTGAGGTTTGTTACTTGCTCGTCCCTGGAGATGACGTCGTTGGGTTCCACTTGCGAACGAAGTTGGTGATGCTTGCCCGGCGATTGACGAACGAAAGGAATATTTTTCTTAGCGGGGTTGGATCCTCGGACAATATGCGTCGGAGTCTTGCTTTTCATCGGCTTTGCTTGTTTCTGAGTTCCCTGTAAGAGGCGTGGGAGGAAATCAGAACTCTGTGGCAGCTCCACTTTTAAACATGTACATCGGGATTCCCGATCTTAGTCCTTTTTTATTCAGCTCTAAGGACAGTATATATCTTCAAATATATAGTCTCCACAGCTACACGCCTTGATGCAAGTATATTGTTGGTCTCACTCTACTTTAGTTTCTCTTTTTCTTTTCGACTTGGGTCTATGGATGAACGGCTGAGGTTCAAATTCATTTACATAGGTTTGAAGATTCTAAATTCCGTTTGGACACTGAAAATATTCCATGGACCAAATATGCATATGTGTCACTTAGTCTAGGAAACTAAATCACAAGTTGAAATGCGTTTGCTTCAGCTTCCCCGTTTCCTCATCAAGGCCAGCAGGTACCAAAGAAGATAAGTCATCGAATCCTCAAGTCCAGCCTATGAAATACGTTAGATTATTCCAAATATTTTTTTTAGGTTATTAGTTAGCATTTAGTTGTATCAAGGTGCGTTCACAATGAAGTAAATCCAATGTCGGGGGCAACAGTGCTTTTGCCCCCACTAAGTATAAGAGGTGAAGCAGTCTACTCTCCAGTTGTCTCTGGATTTCTTGCGATCCAGCCCATTATTTATCAATCAAAACATCCACGTTCGCGCAAATCCCCTTCATTCAGTTTTTTTTTCTTTAAAAAATCAAAATGCGCTCTCGGTCCCCCAGCATGTCTCGCTCCGCAAAGGACCTCCAACTTAGCAGTGATGCCGAGTCCGATCACCCAGACCACAACACTGAGGACCACTCGAAAGTAACTAACCGTGGGGCGCCGGCACGTCACAGTCGTCGCCAACGATCTGAGGTAAGGGCTCATCTATACACCGGTGCAAACCGACGAGAACCCCCGAACTAAGCCCGAACTACCCAGTATCGGTCTTGGAACCGGTCTAGCAACATCCAACACACTTCAACTACCGGTTCAAAGGGTCGCTCGACTTCCAGGCATTGATTTGTCCTGATATATGAAGATATTGGTGTATCTAATTTCAACTAGTGTATGGATATTGCAAGACAGTCGATTGTTTGTGCATCTATATTCCTAGAGGTCTCATATTAGCGGAGATGATATTCGAGGTTCTGTAGAAGCTGAAGGGCCATGGGAGAGAAAGAGAAGGAAGAGGAGAGGGAGAAGGGAGAGGAACTATACCATTCACACGAAGGAGACCATGCCCAAGAAATCTCGATACGCATTGGGTATTTACTCTCAATATTCGTCAATAGTAGATCAGAATTTATGTACGCAGCAGTTTCTACTATTATATCGGTAAAGGAGTGATGTTTTAGATATATAAGTCGCGGCGAGTTCGCCACAATTATTCGTAGATGATTGAAGCCAAAAATAGAACTAAAGAAACTAAAAGTGACAGGACTAGAAATATCCAACGCTTCGTCAGGCATTTCAACGGGGCTTGAGCTGACGGTTTGCCTTGATATATGCTCCAGCTATGTGCACTGAGGAATATTGACTTCTGAACTATATACTAGGTCAAGTTTCTCACAAATTTCAAGCATATCAGAAGAAACAAAGTACTCACGGCAGTGGTAAGGGTTGTTCTGCTCCATAAACCAACATCCCCTGGAGTTCTTGTACCGGTTTCTTTGGCAATTTGTCAGTTGAGGTCCTTATATTATCTTTTTGAAATACTTACTGGTACATGCACACAGGCTGGACCTTGACTCCGACTTTTGACTCTCCAATTATCTCACTCGATAGGTACTTAAGACGAGTATTTGGACAGGTATTCTGAGTGGAATCTCAATCAATATCTCATTTAATAATTACCTGGACTACTTCTCATATATCCAGGTCAATGGGCTTCTAGACGAGCATTTTAACGAGGCCACAAGCGTGTATTCTGATAGATCTTATCATCTGGGTCCCGAATCGAAGACGTAGCCCATCATCGATGATGTCGTGTACAACTAGGTTTGATGCAATAAGAGATTGTTTTACTGCTTTCTTGGCCTAGATCACGCTCTAATATCAACTACATTTTCTAAAAAGTATGTGTTCTCGTTTCAAGTTTCCTCAAAATTCAGTAAATTTACCGATCATCTAAATATTTGAAGGATTTCGGAATATGTGTAGCATGAAAAGGAGCTCATGCCTAGTTTACTACGCCAGTGGAGTGCTCGGGCATAATTTGGGGGAAGGGGTTCACACAGACAGTTAGGGACAATATACAGCTGTAAATAAGGCTGCACGAGTATAAATTCGAAAGTCGGTGTGAAACGACCCTTTTAGGACCGGTTTCTTCACGATCAAATCCCGTTGGTCTGATTATCGGCCGGGCTTTGTAATACTCGGTGGCTCCACCGAGGGGCAAGGCGGGGAGCGATTGTTTTGGTGTTTATATCTGTGTTCTTCCCCCATCAATTACTTCTCATTACTTCTGAAGTTCTTGTCCAAATTATACGATGGCATCCAAGCAGTATACGCTTTACGACCTCCCCAGCAAGGCTCCGTGCAGCACTTGGTCACCGAACCCTTGGAAAAGTGAGTCATGGGTCCATTTTTGGTATACCATAATATTCCATGCTGACTATATGTTTAGCACGACTTCTGTTCAATCTCAAAGGGCTTGATTACCGAACTGAATGGGTAAGTTGTCTAGGGATACCCAACAAAGCCCTGTAATTGATGGACAAATCCACAAAGGTCGAATATCCAGATATCAAGCCGACGCTAGAAAACAAGTGAGTTCAAACTTTGAAAAAGTGATAAAAGCTATTGAAAACACAAAAGTAATCTAACATCTATGTAGAGTTCCTGCCAATACGGAAGGTGTCGCGTACTCAATTCCCACCATTGAAAGTCCAGATGGAACATGTGTGATGGACTCGCGCAAGATCGCAGACTACATCGAGAAGGAACATCCTCAGCCCTCAATGCATCTAGATTCAAGCTACTTGCCTAAGGTTGAAGAATTATGGTCGGCCTATATGAGGTAAGAATTGATCAGATCCTGACCATGATCTCCTCCCAACCCAAGAGCCCAGCGCGATCCAGACCGTCCATCTAACTATTCCTCTTTCCTCCCCCAGAGCCATTTGCCCTATATTTTTGGCTTGGGTCCCTAGGGATATACTCAACGACGCGAGTCTTGAGTTCTGGTATACAACCCGTGAGAAGTTCTTCGGGATGCCAGTTGATCAGCTGGAGAAGACGAAAGGAGGAGTTCTGGCATGGAATGAGGCTGAGCCAGCACTTCGCGGGGCAACAGCGCTGTTGAAGGAGAATCAAGGCCCCTTTTTCTTGGGAGAAACTGTCAGCTACGCTGATCTTGTTTGGGCCAGTGTTCTTATTTTCAGTAAGCGTCTCGGACCGGGCTTTTTTGAAGAGGCTTTGAAGAGAAGTGGGGATGCTCAGGTTCACTTGGACCTGCTAGAGGCACTTCGCCCTGTGTCCGAGCGAGATGGTTATTGATTGTGGTGAATAGAATGTTGGTCGCTATTTAAGCAAGCGAAGCTATTTCGCGAGACTGGAGTTGAAAACTGCTAGGTCCGAGGAGACACACAATCCCAGCAAGGATGTCACTATCAAGATTTTGTATACATCTCAATTTTGTTGTCTATTTCCAGAAAAAAAGAAGTAACAGGATGAAAGGGTCGTTTCGGGCTATACGACGGATCGTTCTCATGAGTCTTTCCAAGATCGTAGCAAAAGCATCACTCCTCAAAAGCCCTTAGTACGGCGAGACCAGCCACCGAAGCTGATGCAACACGGTTATGACCTAAAGAGAGACGCGGTTAGTCTGATGAATTAGAACCAGAGCATTTCTGCACATACCGCCGTGTCCCACCCGTTCCCACCTAACAGTCTTCAAAACTTCACTACTGACTGGATTTTTCCAGACCTTAATTTCGCTTGAGCTATTCCTTTCAACTTTGTGATATGTCAAGCCACCAGGAGCACCTGAAATATTTTCGCCAGTGGCAGCCACCCAGACACGGCGTCCTTCATACCAAGGTATTTCGACATCATCCATTGCATGGACAATTGTCAGATAAAGACTCTTGTCGGTATACTTTACACCAGAAGCGTCTGCCTCTGCTGGTTCAACGCCAGTGAGGCGCGCAACTCTTCCAACTGTGTCCCAGTAGTCCACGATATGACTCAACACCCATCTCTGGAAGCGAGGATATCCCATAAGAGGGGATAACATTGGAGGTGTGATACCCTTGAGGCTGTAATTTTCAATGACGCTGGTCACACTACCAAATGATGCCAGAAGGACGACGCCAGCGAAAGGCTCGGCATTCTTAATGGCTGGTTGGATAGCTTTAGGGTCGGGTGATCCAAATGCAAAGCGTTCAGCTACTGCAGCTGTAACAGCAGTTCCGAGACTCTGGCCCATAAGGACAATGCGCGAAGGTGAGATCTTCAATGGTCCTGCTGTAAGGTAGTTAATCAGCGTCACACCATCTGTGATAAGACCCTCTTCTGTGGGGCTACCAGTGCTCACGCCGAATCCACGGTAGTCAATGGAAAAGACGTGGACTGGGTTGGAAGGAGTAGAGAGGCTGAGCAGTGTATTGTAAGTGGCAGGACGTTGAGCAGAACCCAGGTGAGCCGCATTGCCGTGGACTAGAGTTCGATGTCAGCATATCTTAGCATCTTCGATCCCAGACTGCGAGCTACCTACAGTTTACAACAACTCGTGAATTTGGGTCATTGGCAAGGAGTTTAAAGGCAATCGTTTGGGTATAGTCATCTGCTGGACCCGACGCAGCATTTTCCATCAGCTCCTCTTCATGCTCATGGCAAAGGTGCAAGGGAATCAGGTGCCACCCGTAGATTGTTTCGTTATCAGGTGTCACCAAATTGAAAGGCTGAACTTGGGTTCCTGTAGAGTGTTAGCAAGGAACAGCTAGAGGTGCTCATAGTCTATACTTAAGAACCCAAATTGCTCGACGAGGTTCACATCCTGCCACAGACTGGGGTTGATCTTATTGGCATAGAGGCAACTAAATCATCTAATTAACTCAGTCTTTGCGCACTGGGGGAGTACGTACAAACGTTGAACCTCTGGGAAAGTCAAGGCGCAGATAAACAGCACATAGAGCAGTCCACCAGCGACCAGAGACCAGTAGGCTTTCCTGAAAATGGGTTTGAGCTCAACCATTGTGAGGTGATGTTCGTGTTGACATGCGGAGGTGAGCGGAGGAAAGATAGGGTGCGCGCGATAAGCTCTTTATCGTGTCGCTTTTCTCCCTTCCACCTCCACCTCCTCCTTCTTGTCACCTCCCTCATCTCCTTTGCTATGATTACCATCCTACCACTATCATTGGCGCCCTAATCTCATTGAAACTGTGATGGCTGAAAAGCGCAGACTTCCGCCGCGTGACCGACGGGAATCGGCGGCCAAAAGACGTGTGTCCGAAGCCGCGCCTCAGTCAACCAAGAAAAAGGCACCAACTCCTCGCGCCCCATCCCCGCTAGAACCTGTGGATGCGCCTTTACCTACCAGCCTCAAGGATGTTGAGGGTTTACCTGTTCTTCGCGCGCGACAACCGCTGACTCTGTCCGACAAGGAGTACCAATCAATCGCCGAAAGGTACGAGATCGCGATCCATGTTACTGTGGACTCATTACTGACAGTGTTTGTTCTAAATCTATAGCGGAGTCCTTCTGGCCGCACTCGAACGATCTAAAAAGAAATGGCTTAGCGACGGCATTCTCGTTCGATACTTCACGAAGCCCAAGAAGACGAAGCGTGAGCAAATTGAAAGGAACAACCCGCCAAAGGATAGCATGACGAAAGTTGGCCCTTGCGACATCACCATTGGTCCTCATTTTTTCGATGCCATGATTTACACTGTCAAAGATCCCAATGCTCCACCATCTCTGCAATATGCGTCCCCGCAAAGACCAATGGTGCATTATGGCCACCCCAACAACTTCCAACAATACCGCCCGTACCCTTCCCCATCCAATCCTCAGCGGCCGAATCAATATTCACCCGCCCCTGCAGGCCGTCCTGGTTACTCTGGAAGTCATCCTCCGGCCCAGCAACCCCGCGGCCCGAATCAAGGCAATGCCCCGTCCCCTCAAGGTGGACAAAGGCCACAACAGGGACAAAAGGGACCCAATGGCCAGCCTGCCAAGCCGAGCCCCGACCCTGTGATTCAGATGCTGGCTACGAGAGCTGCAGCAGATCCCGAGCTGAAGGCATTGATGCGTGTGGTTGCCTCGAGCCAGGCATCCCAAGAACAACTTCGAGCTTTCCAGGCACACATTGACGAACTGAACGCCATCATCAAATCGAGGGAGCAACAAGAGCAACGTCAGCAGGCTTCCGCGACACCCACTCAACCGCAGCAAAGTCCCCAACGAGCAACTCCAGCTCCACAAGCCCAATCCACACCACAACCTCAGCCTCAGTCAAAACAGGATGGCGAGGCAAAGTCAACCTCCAAGGAGCAGCCTGCAACTCAGACAAAAACACCGGCTGAGCAGCCACCTGCTCAGACCGAAGCACAACCTCATCCCCCTGCGGCCTCCGCAGAAAAGCCAGCTAATCCTCAAAATTCCACTGGGCCGGCGATGATCAAGCAAGAATCAACAACTCTGACCAACAAAGATTCCCAGGCTGCGTCAACTTCGTCCACAGGTGGTGGCAATGCAAGCACCCCAGCTCCTGCTTCCACTCCGGGTCAGCAGCAAAGCGCTGCAGTAAATCCCACTCCACCGCCAGCCAGTCGTCCGCAGTCAGCAGCACGGCCAGGACCCCCATACCCTCCATACCCACAACCAGCCTATGGATCACAAACTCCGATCCAATCTCGCCCGCCTCAATTTGGCACACCCAATTCCTTCTACCGTTCTCCGGTGGCTCCGCTGCCTCCCCCGCGCGTGGGCTACAAAGCTGTGGTTTTCGAATTCACATCCCCCTTAACACCATACGGAAATGCTACTTCAGGCCACGCTGGCTCAGGTGACCGTTATCTGTTCCCTGAACACACGATTCTCGAATGGCTCCCAGACGAAAACACAGTCATTGCATCATTCTTAGTAGTACGGAAGGTTGATCCAAACACACCATTCCCTCTTGAATCATCCACAGAGGCCGCCAACTCCCGTAGCAAAGGAAAGAGCGCACCAAAAACCAAGAAGGGCGAGCCGAAGGGCAAGGCCGTGAAGGGATCAGACTCAGCCGGCCCCCAAACCCCGAACCAATCAGCCGGGACGCCACGAAAACAGGAACCAACGGATTCCGCAATGCCAGAGGCATCCGGTACTCCTATCAACGAGGCAAACCTCAAGGAATACTGGCAACCAGTCACATTCCGCATCCACTCCCCAAGCACAACAATCCTCGAACCACTCGCTCGAGTTGTCAAGCCAGCAGACGAAGTCCGCAAATACATGAATGAAATCATGGACCGCGCCGAGCGTGCCCCAGACGGCTTCCTGGCCATGCGTTTACCTCGCGAGGAATCCCACGAGCCATTTGAATCAGAGGGAACGCCCGCCTCAAACATTGGAACCCGCAGCCGTCTTTCCCGTGTCCAGCTTGCTGATGAAGAGTCGGAGGTTGAGACTTCTGCATTCGAATTTGAGGAGGAAGATGAAGATGAGTTGAAGGACTTCTATGATGCGCCGTATGGATTACCACCGTTGAAGACGTGATATTGTTATAAGATTGTATTCATCAGAGGCATCTAAGGTCGTGCCAAGTCTTTGTCGTGAGATCTCATAAACCTGCCATGGGCCAATCTGTTATTGTACCTCGGGCATGTTGACTCGAAAATTACAAGCAGACCGGCTCTGTGGTAGTGGGGTATCCGACGAGAATTGACCCGTCTTCGATTTGAAGATGCTGGAGATTCAGCACTCGGATTATGAACCTCGAGTGTGTCTCTGGATTGATTTTTGTATAATATGTGGCAGCATATGGCTATGTCTTCCTGTCTCGCTTGGTTAATGTACGATTATTGAATGTCGAAGCTGTTGCGTCTAGTTGATGCACAATCCCTCTTATATCACGTCTCACCCATGAACCAAACTCATCAGGCAGGTAAATGATATCGATTGAATGTTGAACCAATACCAAAAAGAAAAGTAACCCAGTAACGCCAATCCGCGAAAGCTATACCCATGGGACTTGATTGGATCAAGTCAAACGAAAAGCTAGAACCAAAAGTGGCGAAAGATAAACCATCAAACACTCCCGCCGGAATGTCTCCCCTGATCCCCAACAATCCCAGCAGCCTCAAGTAACCACCGAGCACTCTCAGCCGCCGAATCCCCGGCCCCAGCCTTAAGATTAATATTCCTCCTCCGCTCCGCCTCCCTAGCCTCAAACTCCCACTTAGCACGCTGCATCTCCACAGCACTAGATCCAGGCTCTGTAGTGAATGCTTCTTCCGGATTAGGCACAATACCCCAGATCTCGAGGGTCCATAGATCAAGTTTGATCGTCTTCGGTGCGTCTTCTAGGGATGTAGTAGGTGATGGTAGGAAGACGCCATCGTGGCCGATGGGTGCGGTGTGGAATGTTGCTGTTTCGAGGTTTGAGTCTATAAGGAGACTCCCTGCGCCGTGCGGTTTTGGGGGGCTTTTGTTGCTTCGGGATGGTGGGGGGATTTGGCAGCCTAGGGCTATTCCTGTTTGGGTGGAGAAGTAGGCCGTTGGGGTGTTTTGGTTTGTTTGGGATGGGGAGGGATTTCCTGGGAGGAGGGTGTGTTTGGGGGATAGTTGGAAGAGGCAGGGGAGGGGGTCTGCTTTAGTTGAGGAGGGTTGGGATGTGCTTGAAGAGGGAGATTTCCAGGTTTGGGGGATGTAGGCGCCTAGTGTTATTGGGTTCTCGTCTGAGGATCCTTCTTGGTTTCCTTGGAGGATGAGGAGGGTGGCAGATTGCCAGGTCATGACGTGGTGCGAGAAGGAGGTCAGGGATGAGCCGTGGGCGTTGGTTGAGAAGACTGGATGCAGCTTGATGCCGCTGCGGAAGAGGTTCAGGGTTGGTGATGTTGACGGGAGGAAGAATGAGAGATGGGATACAACAGTTGGGTTTAAGATTGCTGATTCGAAACTGCCCGGGAGTGTGATTGAAGCTGGTGGCAGGAGTGGCTCTTCGGGCTTCTCAGCATCCTCCACCTCTGTTTCCGGAGTTAGTCCCTTTTGTCGGCGTTGGGAGAGGTCCAAGTTCTTGCTGAAAAGCATATGCTCGAACAAAGCAGTCAGTGGATCGAAGAGATACGGCAGTGACAGCGATATAGTTCTGGCAAAAGTCTTGTACGAGATTCCAACATCTCGTTCTTGTGGTGAGAAAGCTGCAATAATGTTGTCTGCCTCTTTGCGAATTGCCTCCATTCGCTCACCATCAAAATCAGATGTATAGACCTTGACGGACTCCAAAGGTCTGAGCGGTGCAATAACAAGCAACAGCATAAGCAACCGCCGGAAGGTATCAATAGTAATCCCAGTCTCATAGACCGTCTTATCAACACGATGGTCATGTTTGAAAACTTCAATGGCATCAAGAGACTCCAATGCCGCAAGAGCAAGATCATCATCCTCGTCTTCATCATACTCATCGTTCGCCGGTTCATCTATTGAGAATCCCAGCGAATGCGATTGAACAGGAGCAGTTGCTTCAGCATTCTCGGTTTTAGATCCGTTAGCATCGTCTTCTTTAGGGGAAGTAGAAACAGGCGGCCGTCTCGTCACATCAGCCAACGATCCAAAGATCAGTTTAATGCGATCTTTCCGACCCCGCTTAAGCACTTTCTCGTAGCGTTCAGTCAGAAGCACAACAACCTTGACCATAGCCTCGAAGGTTAACACCGTAGGTGCAAGGGTATTCTGAAATGGGAAACTGCCTAGATACGACAGCATGCGGAAGATGACTGGACCTGGATCTAAGAAGAGATCCTGAGAATCTGGGATGGCCAAGAAAGCAGACAGGGTCTGCTCATTCCAGTATCGCAGACCGCCCTGTTCTGCAGCGCGGGAGAAGAAGTTGTCTTTGAAATGTGTGAGCTCTAATGGTGTAAAGCATTTTGTGGCGAAGCGCTCGGCGAGCACGTAGCTCAACTCCTCTGTTTGAGTTAGTACATATGTTGGTTCATATTGATGGCATGAAAAGCATCCAACGTAAAAGGGTGAGACATAGTGGTCCGGTGTAGGAGCAGAGACAGGATTTATGGTATTCGACTTTCTTGTATATTGGATCATAAATGAAAGGGCAAGACTCACCTGGTGTTGATGCACCATGCTCATTCGACTGAGCCGCTCCCATTGTTGCAATGCGGGGTCTACCACACTAATGGCCGGCAACTGACTTGAATCACAGTAGCAGTCGTGATGTGTAGGATATAAAAGTCAAAAGTTGAAGACAGAGTACATGGTAAAAGTGTCAGTCAACAGTTCTGGAGTAAGTGAAGGTGGAGAGTGGAGCATGTGACGACAGCTAGTGCCTGAGGCCGGGATCTAGACTCTTTCGGCCTACAACACTGTAGAATAGAAAATATACAAAGCACAAGATAAAACACTGGTACCTAAGGATCTATGGATACTTTATACATGCATTTTGATTGTGGTAATCGCTAGCAAGATACATAAGGAAATTCGTCGGGGTATCCATTCAGATCCACTAGCCAAAAGGGCCACTACAGCATGACAATACCGACGCCACCCATTTTCGACTCGTCGGGCAAGTTCTTTTGGTTGATTCCACCGCCGATGGGCGCAGCGCGGTAGTTGTACAGGTAGAAGTGGAGCTGGCCATCGCCGGCGCCGAACTTGAGCTTTTCAAGGAAGAGAGGGTTGTCATGCGATGTGAGAGCGTTGAAGACATCGAATTTGGCCTAGGATAATGGGTTAGCATATAACATCAAATACAACAGTCACTATGAACATACGTTCTTAGCACAAATCAGGGCATCGTTCATCAACAACTGCAGGCGTTCCTTCAACGCCCCCGTATCGTCGGAGAAGGCAGTTTCGGTCGCGTAGTAGTACAGGTAAGCAGCGTGGACGGCGCTATGCTTAGGGTGGTCGATCACAGTAGATTCAAGGTTGTAGAAAGAGACAAAGTCGGTAATCTTGTGTGTCTCGGAGTCCTCAACCACATATGACCAGATAACCTGATCCATACCAGGCTTCTCCTTGTAGACCAACCAGTGATCGATTTCCTCGCGGGTGAAAGCCTGGTTCAAATCGAAGCGGCGCATATACCGCTCCAGCAGATCATATACAGCGTCGATGTCCTTGGATTCCATAGGGCGCAGACCGGGGGTTGATGTGTTGCTGGGGAGGTGGTTCTTGGTGACCATGCGGGACTTGGTCGAGCCGTGGGGAAGAGGGGAGAAGCCAACATCGTACAGCTTCAACCAGTTCAGGGCACGGTGGTAGTACCGGCAGGAGCTGATGGGAGTGGGGAGGATGATACCACCAGTGTAGATGGCCTGGAAGATACCGTCGACGTAGCAGCGGCGGGTGATCTCCTTAATCAGAACCGGGGTCAGGCGCTTGGAGCGCAGCTTCTTATGGATGCACAGGAAGTTGATCTCCGTCACCTTGATGCGCTCCCCGCGGACGCGGAGCTCGGTCGGAACACCGCAAATCGAGGCGACCAACTTGCGCGACTTGCTCGCTCGCACACCGACGTGCCATTCCTTCTTCCATCCCGGGGACATCAGGGCCCAGTGCAAGAAGGATTGCGAATAACTGAAGCGGAACATGGCGTTGTCGTCCTCCACGTAGTGGTTGTTCAGAAGCTCATAAAGCTCCTTCAATTCCTCCTCGTTGGTCAGGTCCAGAGTACACCATTCGAAGCCCTCAACGAGCGGGTCAGGGGTCTTGGACACCTTCTCCGGGTCGATCTGCTTGATTTGGCCCTGGATGGCCTGTTTGCCGGCTTCGTTGAAAGCGGGGACGGGTTGTGTCTGCCAGAACTTGTAAGAGGCCATGTCCTTCTGGTTCTTGCCGCCCATTGACAGTCCGGTCAGCAGCTGCGAGAGGTCCATGTTGGCCAGCATCGATGCGGCCTGGTCTTTATCCATGTTGGCAATCTCATTCTTGAGGGCGGGGTTCTGGTCCAAGAGTGCGGCGACGAGCTTTGGGTCGACCTTCTTTCCTGTTTCGGAATCTGAAGAATATCAGCAGCTGCATATCTGGCCTCATGTATGAACTTACTGTCATTTGCAGGGGCCTTGCCCTTATTGGGTTCCGACATGGCTGTATCGGTAGTTGTGGAAGGAGGGAATTGACTCGGGCCCCACGTTTCAGACGCCGCGGATGGTGGGCTGCTTTAATAGTGGGCTTACATGAACAATGAAGCTATATTCTTATCCTATTTATATGTGTGAGATTTACAATTGCTAGTCCATATTAGGCCATTTAATTTGCTTATGTCTTTCCTACTAACTCCTGCCAGATTCCGAACTCCGTGGCCTACGCCGTCAGCCTCGGTAATACTCCGAAGACTGTGACCTCACAAGTGGCTAATGATATTAAAATGGGTATTCATATGCATTGGTAATGGAAGAATTGTTGAAATCCACAAACACCTCTTATGTCCACTTGCTAAAGCATATCTCAAGTGTTGATACAAGAATTAAAGACTAGTTGGAGCTCCGGGCTACCAATCATCAGGAAATTAGGCCTCACTGGCGGGCTTGGTCTCGACCACATCAAGGAATCCTCCAACCAGGTGGATGCTGCCAGTGACAAAGGTCATAACGGGCGGTTCATCCTTCCGCAGATCATTGCGTTCTTGGCCAGCAACTTCCCGGGCGAAATCGACTGCCTCTTCAATGGTACCAAAGACGTGTGTTTGGGCCTTCGGGTCAATGGCATTCCACGCGGTTGCAAGAGACTTCTGGACGCGGAGGAGCTCAAGGTCGTCGGCATTTGTGTTCATGCTGACCAAGTCAGGCCGGAAGCCCGCCGATTTGTATGTGATATTCGTACAGAAGATGACATGGGTGAATGGGGTATCATATCCAAGGGCAGCTGCGAGGGTCTCATAAAGGGCACGGGCCAAAGCAGTACTGTCACGGGCCTGTTGGTTGAAGATCAAGATCCGGGTCTTCTTGGCGGCGAGTTCCTTGGAGGAAGAGTCGGCCTGGATTCGCGAGGCGAACCACTGCCCAGCCAGCCGGATACTCTCCAGGGTATGTCCGCCATCGATATACCACGCGACATCCTTCTCGAGCCGGGTCTCACACCGGCCACCTAGACGAGTTTGCTCAAGGCCGGTCTTGAACTTCGCCGGAAGGGGTGCATTAATGATATCCTCGGGGATATCGGCCACGCCAACCTTGCGCAAGTACTCTGCGGCACTTACTACGGCTAAGGAAGCATTTGTGTACTGGAAGTCTCCAGCTAATCCAAGTTTCACCTGGCTGTTTTCAGGGCGCAATTCGGGATGACCGCGCACAATATCCAACTGAGTGCCCGCCTCCTCAGCACGTTGAGCCAAGACCTCCTCTGCGCTGGTGGGTTGCGGGGCCGCGAAAGCTCTTGCGCCCCGCTTGATAATGCCACCCTTGTGCCATGCGATTTGCTCAATGGTAGTTCCCAGCAAGGCAGTATGGTCGATACCAAGACTGGTAACAGCTGTCACCTTGGGTTGCTCAATTACATTGGTGCAATCGTACTGTCCACCAATTCCACATTCAATAATTGCAGCGTCCACGCCCTCACTTAGGTATGTGTGGAACGCCATCAGTGTCAGGTAGCGGAAATATTGAGGCTTCGATCCCCAGGCATCGGGTTCCTTTCCCGCCAGCTTGGCGGCTTCTTCAAGGCGATCCCATACTTCGAAGAAATAACGTGCGAACTTCTCCTCAGATAATGGGGCGTTATTGATCTGGATGCGCTCACGAGCGAACCGTAGGTGGGGGGAGGTGTACAGGCCGATTTTGTTGAACTTGGGTGCGGGCTGATTGGGCTCTTCTCTGGTGTATTGAGAGAGGATCGTAGAGATGAATGCAGAGGTCGAGCCTTTGCCTTTTGTTCCGGCAACGTGGATTGCGTTTAATCGATTAAGATCAGAGGGCTAGTGTTGTCAGATCAGCAATTGTTCAAAGAGTGATCAGCCCTGCAATTTCGCACCTTGTATCCAATGCAACGGAGCCATTCAACTGTCTCCGGGAGAGAGAGCTCATTCAGGGCCTTCCCCGATTTGCGAACCTGCTCCACAATCGCAAAATTGGTCTGCAAGGAGTTGAGAGCCGAGATCGCAGCCTAATAGGGTTAAATATTAGTACTTAATATGTCCCAATCGCAAGTATATCCTTGTGCTAGACGCTGGGAGCTCGGAAGCATACTTCGTAGGTACGAGTCATAGCGGGCGAATGAGTCGAGACTCGGCGCCGAGCGAAAAACTGGAAGCACAAAGAGACCCGGAATGTTCTCATAGGCAATTCAAGCCCGTACCTGCAATTTCAAATGAGCAGGCGGGGTTGTAGTAAGGAACCCCGGCAGCTCTAAAGATTATCGTTCTATGGTCGTTCCTCTCCTCGGGAAACCGTTGACTGCGGGATCGGGAAGGTCACGTGTTTCTTATCTTTACACAACTTCTCAGAGTATAAAATCGAGTCGGATAATTGCGTATTGGCTATGCTGGTTGGATATAACATCTACCTGGAATTCTAAGCACATCGATGGCGTAATGAAATAATTTCGGAACATGGTGCCTGCATACAGCTGAAAAGTGCATCCGAGGCGACATAAGAAATGTATCAAGAATATGATAGAGAATTAGAAGGGTGCAACGTCAAAGAAAAGAGATCCGAGGGGCCAGTGGTGGTGAAACAATGTAATAAGACATGCAGCCGTGAGGTGTACAGAATATGAAAACAGAGGGATGAAAGAGCGACTGAGGCTTCACTCAATCCTGGTCTTGCCCTCCTCAAGGAAAACAAGGCGGGCATTGCTGATACCACGTTGGTGGCGTCTGGCGGGGAGCCATTGGCCAATGAGAGGGTCAGATTTCGCTTTTATGAGGGCGTCTTGGTAACCTTCGGCGCCGGCAACAGGTGTGTTGAGCTTTGGCCAATTGACCTGATAGATGTTAGTCGGGTGGTGTCAAACTTATGTGATAAACTTACGTAGAGCATGCCGTGTCCGTGGACGAAGCGGAAGCAGTAGGCTGCGACAAGGAACCAGAAAATCATAAACAGGCGAAGAGGCCAAGCAGCGGCATCAGGCACTCGTCTAGTGAAAAGAGCAACTAGTACCATGAACACACTAGCAGCGAGAATATATGGAATGGCCTGGATGACAAGAGGT